TCGGTCAAAGCATTTTTCAGTAGCTTAAACGAGTTCAGGCATTCCTCAGTCCATAATTCACCTATCAGTTGTGTTTTGCCTTTCTTTTTCTCCTTACTGTGTTTCTTTGTCATTTTGTTTACCAAGTCATGCAACGGTGCGGCAATTTTTGCAAAACCAGGTACAAATTTTCTATTATAGGAAGCAAAGCCCAAGAATGATCTGACCTCTACTGTGGTTGTTGGCTGTTTCCATTCTTTAACAGCTGCAATTTTATCTGGGTCAGTGGCGATGCCATCCGACGAAATCACATAACCCAAAAAACGTACCGATTTCAGACCAAAGCCACACTTGTCTGGGTTCAGCTTTACTCCTATCTCTCTAAGACGGAGAAACACTTGTTCTAATCTTTCTAGATGGTCCTCCCAAGTTTTTGAGTAAACTAGTATATCATCCAAGTACACCAACATTATTTGAAATAGAAAGTCACTCATAGTACTTTGCATTACTCGCTGGAATGTAGCAGGTGCATTAGCTAGACCAAACGGCATACGGGTCCACTCGTACAGTCCCAGTGGAGAAATAAATGCAGTCTTATGTTGATCGTTGGGGTGCATGGCCACTTGGTGGTAGCCGCTAGCCAAATCCAAGGTAGAAAAAAATCTTGCTCCCCCCAACGCATCAAGACATTCATCAATACGAGGCAAGGGGAATGCATCCCTTCTTGTGATATTGTTCAATTTCCGGTAATCACAACACAGTCTTATCTCCCCTGACTTCTTTTTTACCACTACTATCGGTGCCGCATACGGGCTCGTGCTGGTTGTAATAATTCCCTTTTTTTGTAGATCGTTCAGGTGTGCTTTCACCGCAGAGTAGTGACTTGGTGGTAATCTTCGATAAGGTTGCGCCACAGGCTTGTCTTGTAGTAAGGGTATCTGGTGTTTTATTACTTCCGTGTAACCCAAATCACCCTCGTACGAGGCAAATATATCCCTGTACTTATTCAGTAATTCATTTAATTTTGGGTCCTCAGTTTCCGGGAATGTATATGATCGGCCATCCTCTTTCTTCACCTCGGCCGTCACATTGACCGACCTAATTGTTACTTCATTACTGCTGGTATTGATCAGTTCGATGCACTGTGCCGACCTTTGTACCTCGACGTTCTGTGGTACTCCTACCAGAGTGTTAGGTGGTATAAAAATTTCCTCATCCAATACATTTGCCACTAATCCTTGAACCAGTCCATTTTCCGCTGATGTGTATGTCCTCAGTAACACGACGCCTGCCCTCAGTGCGGCGCCACATGGTTCTACCATCACATCACCATTCACACTTCTATCACCAATTTGTAATGTGATTGCCTTGACCGTGTTTGCCGGGACTGATGTCCTTCCTCTGGTCTTGGCAAACCTGGCCAACTTTGATCCCCGACTTGGTGTGGGCGATCCGACAATATTTGTAAGAAATTCTGGCAACTGGCCAAGGATATTCATGCCCAACAGGCAAGGTATATTTGACACATTTGTCTCTAGGTTGTGTTTCGTAACGAACACCCCAACCTGCTTCAACCTATGTCCCGCCACCACGACATCCGCCAGAAAATAACCACAGTATGGAATGGTTAGTCCATTAGCTGCCGTCAGGCGCATGCATGTGTCAGACCTTAACCTATGGTCTTTTCCTTTCATCCATTTGGTGTAAAATTGTTCCGTAATTGTCGTCACCTGGGAGCCTGTATCCACAATTGCCTTCACCGCGATGTCCCCGATCGTAATCACCATTTCGGGACAGACTCCCATCATTTTGTTTCTTGGGCCATAACCTCGCCCCTCTGTAGCCTGGCCCTGCCTTACAGAGGACGACCGTTTCCCCTGACAGTACCGTGCCATATGTCCGGGTTGTGAGCAGGACAGGCAAATTGGTCTACCGTCAGCTGTCCACTGGAGTGATGGCTTAGCAGGTCGCGGCTGTCTAACCTGTCTATGTTTTGTCCCGTTTTTGTCCTGATTCTCTGCTGTTGACCTGCTTTCTAACCTCTCCAATCGTTGGTCAACCTTATCCAGGTGGGCCAACAGTTGAGCCATCATGGTTTCCATCGTGCCGGTCCCTGTGGGTGGGGATTGTTTCTGTTCCGGCACAGAGACTTTGTCTACCGAACAGTTCGATTGGTCCTCAACCTCGGACCTGCGGATCGCTGAGTTCCTGACCTGAAGGAAGGTCAACTGTGGGTCTTTGTAGACCTCTTCTTTCAACTCTCTCCTTAAGATCGGGGTTGCTAGCCCCTCGATGAAATGGTCCCTCAGTAGGCGCACATCAATGTCAGGTGTTTTGCCCTTTACCGAATCAAAGGCCCTGTTCATTCGGTGTGAATACTCCATCACACTCTCCGCCATTCTCTGCTTTAAGCCTACGAACCCCGATAGCAGTTGCGATCCCGACCGTCTCTCCCCAAAGGTCTCCATAATTAGATCCAGCACCTTATCTGGATCTGATTGGATGGTTTTATCGTGGCCTTTGACCTCTGCCCTAACCGTCTCTCCTATACTGCCCATCAGCAGTCTTAATCTTTCCTCTGGTGACATGTATCTCGAGGCCCAGGCCGCTTTGACCTCTTCACTGAACCTGTTGGTTAAAGTTGGATCGCCGTCCCCGTAAAATTTGTTGATGTGGGACTCTCTGGGCAGGACCACAATATGGGTCTGCTTCTCGTCCAGAGTAGACATTCTAATTTTAATTCTTTGAGTAGAAAAAAAAAGACCTTTCCTACCGTGTATGAATGAATAATTTTCCTCGTTCCTCAATTTTCACTGTTCCTGAATGTCCGAATTCACACACACACGAAACACAGTTATGAACTAGGTTGACTATGGGTGCCTAAAGCGGCAAGTCTAGCTGAATCATCCTGCCGACGACGCCAAATGTAACCGAGTCTAGTTGCATCTTCTGCTCGACAACGCCAAATGTAACGAGTCTATTTGCTTGTAGTGCCAAATGTTAACGAGTGTATTTACTCAGTCTACACAACATCGACCACAATATAGATACTCGAAGATGCAGGTTTACCATTGATCCTTTTATTACATGAATCAAAAAGAAATGCTTCACAATAATATAATGAATCAACTGACCCCCAACCGTCCTCACTAGTCTTCACATAACCGAATGCACATGTCTATCGTCCCTATTAACACAATACGTCTAACCCGTTCAGTAACCAACTTGATACTGCCACACTTCTACTCTCTGACTGACTGACTGACTTTCTCAGCTGTCGCCTTCCTATATATCCCTTCGTATTCGTAATCGTATTCGTACTCGTTGCATCAGAATATTAATTGCGCAGCTTCTGTCATACAATCCGATTAATAAACCATCTGCACTGTTACGTCAGCCTGTGAACTGCGCAGCGGCTTTGTCGTATCGTTATCAGCCCAACATCTGCACTATTGCATCAGACTGTAATACGTTGTTAACCATAGTATGGTAACTACCCTAGTTACATATATATATATATATATATATATATATATATATATATATATATATATATATATATATATATCTTGTAATATAGTCGCCCTGGTGCTTGTATTATTTCTTTATGCTACAGAGTTAAAATGAACCATTGGCCCCTGCGATTGGCCACAGACTCTAAAGCTAATGTAGTGTGAAGTTTGATGTAATGGTCTCTTTAACTGACCATTACATCTGAAGCTAATGTAGTGTGAAGTTTGATGTAATGGTCTCTTTAACTGACCATTACATCTGAAGCTAATGTAGTGTGAAGTTTGATGGTCTCTTTAACTGACCATTACATCTGAAGCTAATGTAGTGTGAAGTCTGAAGTAATGGTCTCTTTAACTGACCCTTACATCTGAACCTAGTGTAGTAAGCTATAACTGTTTGAAGCACTGATCTATTTAACTGACCATTACATCTGAAGCTAATGTAACATGATAAAACTATTTGAAGCACTGGTCTCTTGAACTGACCATCACAAGCATTAGCCTGTACAACTCAGATCACAGCTTGCTCCTACATTTAAAACACCCCAAGTCTCCCGTCTACCACAAATGTCTTGAGCCCTTCATCTTTTTATTGATTCAAAATCCGTGCCAAAATCCGTTCCTTCATCATCCGCGAGCTTTTTTTTTTCTCTGGAACATTGCTGGAACAATGTAACGCTTGAATGAGTACTAAAGGATGCTTAACCAGATCTTAAGCAACGATGCGTAAATGAAAACAATATTACATCTGAAACGTTAGATGTATTTGTAGCCTTGGAATTGTATGGGGCTCTAGAAGTATGGGCTAGAGAATATGGAAAGTTTCAACATGGAGTGGGCCTTGTAAAAAATGGGTTTATGTCTTTCATGGTCTATGGTTAGTCTGATAGAACTTATGGAATATTTTTTTGTTTGTTAGTGGAGAATCGTCCAACTCTTTTCAGAGGCAGTTGAGTGTTTGGTCGTGGATTATGGGGATTTGTTGTATGGCGATGTATCATGGTGATATATTATGCGGTTATGTACATTGGTTTAGCTGTGTATCGAGATGTTTGTTTTTGTATGCGGTTGAGGGCTCCGATGTGTTTTATGATGTTAGCCATTGACGTGCTTGAGTAGATCTGGACTTGTATTTTATTTTTAAAGTAACTGCTTTAAAATGTTTCTACTCTCCTAAATCACCAAATACTGGTTCCGGTTATACACGAGTTGTCCCTGTCTAGAATGTTACTCTTGAAAACTTCCAATAAAACAAACAAGTCTAGGCTTATTTTCTTTAGACTTTAATGCAATGATATAAAACTTAAAAACTTGTTTAATCTCTGGTCCAGACGTTTACCTCATAGATTATTCTTATGTTAATTTATTTAGTTCATTGTTTTTACATTTTGTTACGGTAGCTTTTCGTTTAGCCCAAAGGGAAGCTAATCTTGTTTACAAAAAAGGGTAGCTACTCGTGTTTACCTAAAAAAATTCGCTCATGTCTTCAAAATCTCCGTCTGTTCACAGTTCAAACAAGTGGAGGAGTACATGGTGTACCGGAAACTGCCGAGAAGTCTCCGGCAAAGAATCACCGATTACTACGAGCATCGATACCAGGGAAAGATGTTTGACGAGGAGACGATTCTCTCCGAGCTGAACGAATGCCTAAAACATGTATGTTTTCTTGTATAAAACATGTATGTTTTCTTGTATACAAAAATTATGTTCTGTATAAAACATGTATGTTTTCTTGTATACAAAATTTATGTTCTGTATAAAATATGTGTTTTCTTGTATACAAAAATTATGCCTGTATAAAAATGTATGTTTTCTTGTATACAACATGTATGTTCTGTATAAAACATGTATAAAAAAACTGTGTTTTGCATAATATATCAATGTGATAACTTAAGTTTGGAATTCGATCAACGTGTGTTACTCCGCCTGCAGGAAGTGGTCAACCACAACTGTCGGGCTTTGGTCGCCTCCGTACCTTTCTTCACTAATGCCGACCCGGCTTTTGTGTCGGAAGTCGTCAGCAAGCTCAAGTTTGAGGTAGGGAGAGTTGGGTGTGATGGTGTCATGTTAACAGAGTTGGGTATGGTGGTGTGATGTTAACATATGTGAGTTGGGTATGATGGTGTGATGTTAACATATGTGAGTTGGGTATGATGGTAAGATGTTAACAAACGAGAGTTGGGTGTGATGTTAACATATGTGAGTTGGGTATGATGGTGTGATGTTAACAAACGAGAGTTGGGTATGATGGTGTGATGTTAACATAGGTGACAGTTGGGTATGATGGTGTGATTTTAACATATGTGAGTTGGGTATGATGGTGTGATGTTAACATATGCGAGTTGGGTATGATGGTGTGATATTAACATATGTGAGTTGGGTATGATGGTGTGATGTTAACATATGTGAGTTGGCTATAATGGTGTGATGTTAACATAGTTGGCTATGATGGTGTGATGTTAACATAGTTGGCTATGATGATGTGATGTTAACATAGTTGGCTATTATGGTGTGATGTTAACATAGTTGGCTTTGATGGTGTGATGTTAACATAGTTGGCTAGTTGAGATAGTTAGCTATGATGATGTCATGTTAACAAACAGTTGGCTAATGTAACGTTAGCATATAGTTGACTAGGATCAGTTCGGTGTTAAAGCGTACAACAATTATTAAAATAGCGGAGTTACAGTTCACAATAGACAATCATTAGGGGCAAACATTGAAATATTCAATTACAATTTGTGTTCAAAACGTCTCCCTTCTGTAAAAAAAAAAAACTAAAGATTAACCTCAATACACAATCAAAGATCAACAAATTTAAGCTGGGGTTCAAGAAATTGTTAAATCAACTTCAAACAAAAACAAATAACCAACATAAAAAGACAATTTTTTACAATCTTTGAACAACAATTTTATACATTGCTTACTAAAGATCAGAGAAAAACCGTGTTAGTTTAAAGATTAGAAAAAAAGCGTTGTTCGGTTCAAAAACAAAACTAAAATGTCAACATTGATTACCTACTTATTGTACTTAACCTTTGACCCTGTCTGTCCTGTAGGTGTATCAACCCGCGGATTACATCATCAGAGAGGGCACCATGGGCACCAAGATGTATTTCATCCAGGAGGGTGTGGTGGACATTATAACAGCGGACGGGGAGGTGGCGACTAGCCTGTCGGACGGGTCGTACTTTGGGGGTGAGTACACACGTCACACTGGCATTTCCTGATGGCTCAGCTAGACGTATGACGTCAATATCTATTGTAAAGGCTTTTAGTTATACTTTGACGTCAATAACTACTGTAAAGGCTTTTAGTTATACTTTGACGTCAATAACTACTGTAAAGGCTTTTAGTTATACTTTGACGTCAATAACTACAGTAAAAGCTTTTAGTTATACTTTGACGTCAATAACTACAGTAAAAGCTTTTAGTTATAGCGCTGGTAAGTAGGTTATCAACCAGTTCTATGGCTCATGCAGGTGACCTACTTACCAGCTCTATAGTTATGATGTCAATATATATATCGTAAACGTATAACAGTACATGTCGGGCCATAAGTATTGTATGATGCTGTGGTGTTTGTAAATATTATATTATGGTATATAATGGCGTAAAGCAGGCTGTATCAACTAATACAATTCTCACTATACCATTCAGAAGACATTTTAAAAGCAATTGTAATATATTGCATACACGGTTGTATTTGTTATTGTGCAGTTGTTCGTTTCAATATGTTTATACATAGGCCTTCTTATGTCTGCTATGTAACGAGCTGTTCTCTGTAAACTGACTATGTGTCTGCTCCACAGAGATCTGTCTGCTGACCAACGCCCGCCGTGTGGCCAGTGTCCGGGCTGAGACGTACGCCTGTCTCTACTCGCTGGCCGTGGAACACTTCAACGGTGTCCTTGACCGCTACCCCGTCATGCGCAGGACGATGGAGAGCGTGGCGGCCGAGAGACTGACCAAGATCGGCAAGAACCCCAGCATCGTGAGCAGCCGAGCGGACCTCGAGGAAGACCAGAAGTTGGTCAACGAGATCGTCATGGAGTCCACGCCTATCCCCACCAGCGCCAGCGAGGATGAAGATCAGAACTCTGACGATAGTTCAGACGGTAGCAAACACAAAAAGAAATCCTCATTCAAGTTTGATTTTTCTTCAAAACTTCATAAAATTTCGGAAGAGCGTAAAAACAAAGCCAAGGAGCAATCAGCGCAGAAAGAAAAAGACTTGTTGGACTTTGAGGAGAGCAAACCACACAGCGGACACACATGGACTAAACTACCTAAAGTTTATTCCGGGTCTAATTTGTTCGGGCTCAAAGTCCCGTCGTTACCGGAGAGGAAGAGATCGGGGAGTGTGGGTGACGCCTTTGGTTTGGCCAGCACACGGCTGACGCAAAGTCTGGACGAAACGGAAGAAGAAGGTCTGCATGAACTAGCAGACGAGAAACGACGCGGGAGTTTCTTAGGGGGTCGTCTGAAAGGATTCGAACTCAAAGATCTAAAACCCAAACACAAATCACCGCTGTTGGGTGACCGGAAGACCCCCCACTCGGCCGAGAGTGGTTTTCTGGGCGCCTCAGCAGAAGAGAGCGCCAGTTTACTAACACCGTGCGAGCCGAAAGACATTAAAGATTCTGTAGTGAGCGTGGGAGAAGGTAGGACTACGTCTGAAGCCACGCCGAAAAGTCCGTTAAAAAAAGCTGGCGCAGGCTCGGATAGTTCGTTCTGCGGACTGAAATCCCTCAAGTCGTCCCTCAAATCCACCACGAGTTTACCCATCACCGGCGAGCCGGCTTTGATTGCTGGGGTCGAGTGCTCGGAAGTGGGCGGTGCCGCTCGCAAGGTGGAATCATCTGGAGAAGCAGGCGAGGGCAAGCCCAAAGACAGCAAGCCAAAGGAACAAAAAGTTGTATTTTTCACCGACCCTATCGTACACGCCTACAGTAAAAGCTCTAGTAGTTGACACAGAAACAGACTGACGCGGACCTTTCCAGAACTTAGATTTACAGCGTTTACACAGGTATAAAGCAGCCACGTCTTGCAATATCGGCCTTACAGGTGATGTGCCAATCGAATCCAAGACATCCTGGCAGTAAAGACGAGTTAGGAATTCAGTTGGTTAATGTTTCGGATTTTGTTAAGGATAAACAAACTTGGGGAGTGGTTCCTCAAAGTGTCCATGTTCCCAATTCGATCTTTTGAAGTGCAATGTGGGAAACCAAAGGTTTCGTTTGTTACAGGAAAATGATTCAAAATAGCAAGAGTATTTGTCGTGAAAATCAAATTCCCGAAATGTGCAATACTTCAAAAAAAAAAAATTCTATCTTACACAATGTGGAATATGGAAACGGAAAAAAATAAAATTCTAAAATTGTGCAATATTTTAAATTAGCAAATTTTATTCATAAACTGTGCAATATTTTCAATTGGCAAATTGTATTCCTAAACTGTGCAATATTTTCAATTGGCAATTTTTATTCCTAAACTGTGCAATAATTAGAAGACTAGATAAATCTTATTCTCAAACTGTACAATTAGAAGATTAGAAAAAAAAACTGTGTGTCTAGAAAAAGAGAACTTTCTTTGTTAAAACTGTAGACGAAAAAAAACCTTAGAATGTGTAGCGTTGCCATGACACCGATGTTGCTTGTTCAGTCCTCAACCACCTCCTAGTGTACAGCCTATTAATTCCTAGCACAGGTCAATGTCAAGGTCACCTATGCATCTGTGATGCGGCACTGCCATCAGAGGCCTATCCTAATGTATCGATCCTCAAGCAAATTATTTTTTTTAGAAATTCCAAACTTTTTCTCCAAACTCCAATCTGCCTTGTTGAATTTTTGTCAATTTTTCAGAATTAAAATTTAATTTTTGCCACTAACTCTCAAATTGAAATCAAATTATGAAAAAAAAACGTTTTTGAGATTTTTCGATATTCATTTAAAACAATCTTATTACCTTTAAAATGCTTATATAAGTAGATGACTGAATTCTAGGTATATTTAAGCAGGTAAATCCCATACATTGGATCTACGGGTGATACAGTTTGGTAAGTCTCAGATGGGCGCCGGCATACATGTTCATTATTGTATGACTCAGTTGATTTCATTACATGAATTGACATTTCTACACCCTGTACTGTTCATTTCTCACGCATTCATTCTTTTATTTTGTTACCAATGATAGACATAGTGGTTAACTTTTCACATGAAAACTTTGTACGGTAAACTCTCGAAAAATTGGCACCTATCTTGCAACAGTCAATTTTAAGAATAAACTGTTATTATTTTATAAATGATGTCCATGATAGACACTTTATATATATATATATATATATATATATATATATATATATATATATATATATATATATATATATATATATATATATATATATATATATATATATATATATATATATATATATATATATATATATATATATATATATATATATATATATATATATATATATATATATATATATATATATATAATTCAGTTGTACTGAACAAATCATCCAGCAATAGACACATACAAATTTAAGAATACATCACTAGCAACGACAGACATAACATGATTTAAAACCAGACTTATGTATATGTTCTGATCAAACTACGGGTTACAGACTTGGAGCCAGTGGTTTTAGCTGGGAACAAATAGAAGAGTTTCTCTGTTGTACTTGTAAGGTCTCATACACACTGTGAGTGATGGCTGTTAAAAAGATCACAAGTTCGGATACGAGTGGGCGCATGGCACTGAGCTCTAGTACGTGGAGGTAGAAACAGTTGGACACGTGATCACTGAGGGGCGGGGGTGGAGGGGGGCATCGCATTCATGAGTTACGTAGTGAAAATAATGTTGATCGAAGTTAGAAGCGAACCCATGAATTGAATGCAAACAAAAAATTGTTGTTGATAAAGTCATACCCGTGACGTCATTTAAAAACAGGTTGTTCAATGTTAGAAACATACCCGTGAAGTGCAATAAGATTCAGTGATATAGGAATATAGCCTTATTCAGCAATATACCATATACACACACACGCAATACACAAACACACACACATATATATATATATATATATATATATATATATATATATATATATATATATATATATATATATATATATATATATATATATATATATATATATATATATATATATATATATTCGCTGAAAATCTTGTGTCAGTGTTGCCTTCTGCGTTTGATATCTGCAGATTTTTTTTTTCTTTAATACGATCAGGAAATTCTGTTTATTAAAGAAACGTGCATCCACTTCTATAAACGTGCTAGAAAAAAAAACATTCATTTCTCCTGTCTATCTCTTCTTGAATGGAAATTGAAAATTTACGTCAGTGTGGGGGGGGGGGGGGGCAGAATATAAGGTTTAAAAAAAAGAAAACATTTTTTTTTACTGCCAGCCAGAAAAAAAATATAATTTTGTAGATCTTATAAAATAAATGGGAATAGGTTTTTTTTAAAATCCTTGTTGCTAGCTGTTGCTAAGGAAACTAATACCAATGATTAACGCTCCGGAAGTGTAAGACGTAATAGTTTAAAATCCATTGTGATTGCCTGAATCTAGTTATCGAGTTCAAAAAAAAAATTTTAACAGGAAGGGAGGTAACTGCAGAAATTTTATATTTCTCTGACATTTAAGAGCGAGTTTTAGCCGTGTGAATAGGTTGTCATGTGATGTCCTCAATTTGTCAATATTTTTTTTTTATTTTTTCATAGAACACTCAACAACAAGACTCCATTTGGCAAAGTGAATTTAGTCTCTCACACTAAAACTTAGGACTAACAAAACTTAATGTGCACCTTAAATCTACGACTGCTAGCCAGCTATTTAAACCCACATTCCACCCACTAAAATCCTTCATGACCTTATTATAACCTCTCACCCAATAGGAGGAATATAAACAAATGGGAAATAACCTCCTCTCAAAAATACACGAGGGGTTCTAAAGTTATTTAAACACATTAAAATTGGCATCACGTAATAAAGTGTTAGGGTTTGAGTTTTATTTTTATATTTCTGCTCATTATTAACTCCATATAAAACCATCTACTTAAAACATATCACGCGTACGCAATATTTTTAACAAACCTGTTATTTTGGTAAGAGAGTATAAGCGTTGTTTAGAGCGAAGGCTTTCAGTTCTGACGCGGTATAATACAAACTGAAGGAGACCGCTAGACAATGGCGCCCGAATGTGTGCAAGGCTAATAGGAAAAAAACTATTCATTCTTTTCTTTATTTGACCACTGCTTTTTATATCATTGATATTTTGTTTTTGTTATAATCTTTGTAGACGTCTTTGGGTTATTTTGTTTTCATTTCATGAAATGCAACGAAAAAGATTAAAGAAAGAAAAAAAAAACGTGGATTATTCTTGTGTGTACATTTTTTATATGCTGGATGTAATGTGAGTGCTGTAAATCGTCATATGGCTTCGTAGTTAGGTCTTAGTAAGGTATCATTGATAGGGCGTATTGCCGTATGTGGGCATGTACACATATCTGTGAATATCTGTGGGCATTTACACACGTCTGTGAATATCTATGAGGATATACACATGTCTGTGAATATATGAGGACATGTAAAAATGTCTCTGAATATCTGTGGTCATGAACATATATATATGAATATATGTGACAAAATACATGTCTGTGGTTGTATGCCACAATAAATATGTTATGGTGAATTGATTTGTGTGGTTGTGTGTGTGTGTGATTGTGTGTGTGTGTGTGTGGTTGTATCATCCACACCAACTGTAAAACAAGATCACACAAGAGTATACAGAACACACGAACAACAGAAACCTATCCATGAAATTTTAACTCACTTTCTAGTTGCTATACCACTATGTCTAGAAGATACCTAAACAGTATATAAAAGCTTGCAAAAAGGTAACTGTGTATGGATAAAATGTATAAATTCTGTATGCATTCTATATAATCTGGAGATTCTATACATGAACAGTATTAAAAATGTATTTAGAGATCTTATTTTCTAAAATGGATTACTGCATGAGAATTCTTCAGCATGCTTTGAAAGTCGTCTTTGAATAATTGCTGTCACAACCGTGAAGGCTATCATCACCTCTGTCTACAGTATTTTTCTTATTTGTGTTCGGATCCCGGCTCTAGTTCGTAGGACGTCCCTGGGTTCACCCAGCTCTAAAGAATACCAGAATCACATTCATTAAAGTAAGGCGGGTGGGCGTCAAACTGACCACACTATCCCCTCATTAGCCATAGACACAGGGCGTCAAACTGACCACACTATCCCCTCATTAGCCATGGACACAGAAACAGATCAAGGGTAACTTCAAATTTACATTGATGACAGGCACTACAAACCTGCTTTATAACAACACAACCTGATGCTAGGGTAATCATGTCATTTGTTTTATAAATAGGATTCTCAAAAAACCAAATATATTAACCAGCTCTGGGACCGTCCAAATATATCAACCAATTCTGTGACAGCCCAAATATATTAACCAGTTATGTGGCCATCCAAATATGTTAACCAATTCTGTGACCGTCCAAATATATTGGCCAACACTGTGACCGTCCGAATATATTAACCAATTCTGTGACCGTCCAAATATATTGGCCAACTCTGTGGCCGTCCAAATATATTGGCCAACACTGTGGCCGTCCAAATATATTGCCAACACTGTGGCCGTCCAAATATATTGCCAACACTGTGGCCGTCCAAATATATTGGCCAACTCTGACCAGTATCAGAGCCGACCGTTCAGATTTGACCCCAGAAAACATAATTGCTCCCCCTCCCCTCCCGGGTCCCGTGTATTTCCTAAGAAAACCCTGGCACCCCTCATCAATTCTCCTTTCATTCTGAGCTCGTGAGTCAGCGCATTGGCTGGAGCAGATGCCAGACATTCGCAAACACGAGATGCCCGTATTGACGAATGATCAGTTGACACAGCTCATAAAAGGCAGCGGGTGAAATGAAGGAAATATTTGCTGAGTTAAGTTGCCAGGATTTGGGATCTGCCGTCCGACGGCAGTGCGTGTTTGTATCTTTTGATTACAACGGAAGTCGTAGAGCGGTGCTCACGTTCTCGGCTATGGATACGTCATAGATCTCCCACGGTGGTTCCTGAATTTTTGGGGAGGGTTCTAGCGGTTTAGGAACAATCCTCGCGTTCTTAGAGGAGCTTCTGCGTTTATAGAGCAGTCACTTTAATAGGAAGAACCTCGCGTTCTTAGGGAGGGATATCGTATCCTTAGGATTGACAGGCGCGTTCTTAGAATGGACCCAACAAAATTGCTGTATTATAAGGTTGTATCCCATTGTGTTAAGATACTTATATGAAGGACAACGATGACATATATGATAAAGTTTAATTATCTTTCTATAGCATTAGCATGCTACTATAAATAGTTGTTAAAATAAACATTTATATCATCCTAGCTTACAATATAATATTTAAACATAATATTTAACATATTTTTAATGAAAAAATTCTTCTTCTTACGGCTAAAAAATAATTTTGAATTACATGTCAGTATTAGATAACAAACATATTTCAAATAGCTTTAGTCTGATTAAATTTTTAGATAATTACTGTATAAATTTAAATCTTTGTTTTGTATTTCTTAATGGCCTACAAACAAACGTTTTGGCTAGTACTGGAAACATTGTTCTGGCTAGCTCAAAACAAAAATGATCTGGCTAGAATAGGAAACAATGGACCAGCACAGCATTACAGAATTTTGACAGCGCCTGACTTACTCATGTAATTAAATGTCAGGGCACAAATGATGCAAAGAGGAACACCCTGACATGACCTTGACCTTGTCACCATACATAAAACGACGGTTTTAATCGCTTAATTCAAATAACAAAAGAAGTATAAAATGTTTAATATATGTGTACATGAATCTTGGTAAAATTGATAAAATATGTATGAAATATTAAGAAATTCGATTATAAATATAAAGTAAATATTACGTATTTACAAATGGGAGAAATAAACATATCACAGTTATGCTGATGAGTTCATGGTTAAGGGGGAATAACCAAAATAATTTTAGCAATTAAGGGTGAGAATGTCGTCATTATTTTTGTCTTAGGGGTCATCAATTTATGACGTCCACACGGAAGGGGGTGGGGTGGGACCCGAAATGTGGACTGGGCAGTGGGGTTTGAGTCTTTGGTAGAAGTACACACGTCAACTTTAATAGAAGTACACACGTCAACTTTAATAGAAGTACACACGTCAACTTTAATAGAAGTACACACGTCAACTTTAATAGAAGTACACACGTCAACTTTAATAGAAGTACTCACGTCAACTTTAATTCTAAAGTACTTAACTGTTTTAACGTAAACAAAAATTTACATACATTACAAAATTACAACCTGCATATCAGGTGTAAACATTTTGAAAGGTACTTTAGAGAATATCACGTGTTACAGGTAAATAAGTTGCGGTAAGCCTAGGTAATTAAATGATATAAAAAGAGATCATGAAATTGATGCGGCCTTACGACAAATGCTAATTACGACTTCAGAAAACAATACTTTTAAAACTTTTCCTCCTATGTTAAAACAATGAAGTTAGTACCCTGCATACGCCTTTGTTTGGTACGGGGGGGGGGGAATCTTTGAAAATAAAATTGAAATGTGTTCATCATATTATATTCATATTTTCAAAACATTTAAATTATTTTCCGCAATTTACTCCCAGTTCTACTTTTAATATTTAATTCTTTAGCACTGAATGTAACATTTTCTTATAATGTAAGCTTATATCGGAAGTAAGTTAGTAGAGCTATTACATTTGTGTGGGCGTCCACATGGGGGACGGGGGTCGTCCAAAGTTGACACATGTGTAGAGGGGTTTGGGGGTCGAATTTCATATGTTTATGGACGTCTTAAATGGATGACCCTTATACCCGGATTTCTTTCAGACATTTTTTTTCACCGGGGAGATCATGAAACTTCAGTAGGCGGCCATTGGTTAACAGTAGATTTCCTGTTTAAATTGTTTTTATTTATTAAGTCGTATGGTGGGCGGGAGAGGGGGGGGGGGCGTGCTCAGGGGGGACATGCCTGAAAGAAACACTGCTCACACTGTAACACTGCATACCTACAATGTCTATGTGAGAGTGTCTGATCAGCTGGCATGAAACTCATCAATCACAGCCCTGTTTGAATTGTGTTTGTTTTTATACTGCGGTAGATGGAGATCTACACACGGGATTCATTGGACGCTCACAGCTTTTGATTGTGGTTGGACATTGATCAACAAAGTGCAGAGTTCAAGTTTTATAATCATTATGTTGGTGTGGGGGGGGGGGGGGTCAGTGATTGGTGTCAAATTATGACAGTATTTCGGGAATATTGAATCGTAGTTATTTACTAATTAGTTTGTGAGGAAGATGCGGGGGGGGGGGGGGGGGGGTAGGGGGTAAAACTGATTGGAGGCCAAAGCCTACTTATTTAATGGGGGATTTTCAAAAAGATTTGATATGTTTTAAATTTGCCAAAGTTTTCAGTTAGAGGGGTGTCAAAGGTTTATTACCGGGTTGGGGAGCTATCGAAGTTTTGAGTTAGAGGGTTGTCCAAAGTTTACTACCGGGTTGGGAAGGTGTGAGTTAGAGGGTTGTCCAAGGTTTACTACCGGGTTGGGGAGGTGTCGAAGTGCTCAGAATAACGACGATCTTCTGCTATAGCGCCCAGAGTTTTCTTCTTCTTGGGTTGGGGGTTGTCTCTATTCTCTCCAAACTTGTTCTTTCTCTCAGTATTATTACTCTCACCAAATTTATTCTTCCTCTCATTGTTATTACTCTCACCAAATTTATTCTTCCTCTCATTGTTATTACTGTCACCAAACTTGGTCTGTTTCTGATTACTGGCGTTTTCTCCATACTTTTTCTTTTTCTCGTTGCTGTTGGTTTCTCCAAGTGTGTTGTTCTTTTTGTTCTGGTTGATTTCTGCTAGTGTGTTGTGTTTCTGTGCTGGGGCTCTGTTAGGGTCCCAGTCGTCATGTTTCTGTGCTGGGGTTCTGTTGGGGTCCCAGTCGGCATGTTTCTGTGGTGGGGCTCTGTTAGGGTCCCAGTCGTCATGTTTCTGTGCTGGGGCTCTGTTGGGGTCCCAGTCGTCCTCGAATTTCCCTGGCTCATGTGACCTTCTAGTGTTGGGTGTTTCAGGTGAGTACTCCTCCCTCGGGGTCTCAAACTGACCCTGACCTTCACCTTTTTTCCTGGGTCTAGTTTTAGCCCACTTGTTGTTGTCGCTCCAGACTTCAAGGGGGTCAAGGTCGTTTTTACCTTGGAACTCCGAGATCATGTTGTGACTCTGGAAGCAAAAGAGTTCCAACATGAAAACATCTTTAGTCTCGTGTTATACATTTACACTCCTACACCTTGTCAATTGACGAGGAGTAAAAATGCTCTTGTATTGTTGTTTTTTTAATTAAAATGTTTGAAATTTTTAAAAATAAAAATAAAAACATTTGGTTAAAAGTTTTAACAATAGTAAAAAAAAAATTGGGGGGGGGGGGGATTAATTTGTAGACGAAATTTTTCAAAATTTATAGAAAAATAATTTTGACTTCCTGTAGAAACTTTTAAATTATGACTAAATATATAAATTATCAATATCTGCAGAAAATGTCAAATTTGTGAATTATCAAGAAAACGCCATTTTATGAAACCATGAGCTGACGTACTAAATAGAGCTGATGACTGTACTCACCCATACGTAGAACGTGCCCGCCCCTGCACTGGTCAGCCTGACCAAGTGTTTGTTGGTCTGGCCCAGGTATCGCTCGGCGTCAGTGACCTGACCTTTCTTGAGATTGACCACGTCAGTCCTCCGCATCCTGGCAATCATGCTGTTCCGTCCTAAAGTCCTCATGGAGTTCTGGATGTAGCTCCAGTCCTGGGAGACAGGACATGCATTAGATGATGTGTGTGATATGACATGTGTCATGTGACATGTGTCATGTGTCATATGACATGTGTGATATGACATATGTCACATGATATGTGTCATATGAGTTCTGGATATAGCTCCAGTCCTGGGAGACAGCACATGTGTGATGGGATGTGTGTGATGTGACATGTAATATGACTTGTGTGATATGACATGTGCGATGTGACATATGAAGTATAACATGCGTTATATTACATGTGTGATATGACATGAGTAATATGCTAAGGGTGATATGACATGCGAGGTATCATGCGTGATATGACATGTGTGATAAACACTAGCGTGAAATGACATGTGCAAGGTGGGTGTGCGATAACAAATGTGTGATGTGATCTGTGCTAAATAATGCTTGTGAAATGACATTTGTGTCTGTGCTTTATCTATTGGTGTCCTTGTATTTTCGATACCTGAACCTTTGTGTTTAAGTTACAGGTATGCTTTTATCTGTATGCTTCTAAAAATAGCAACCTTTATCTTTGTGTTTAGGCTATCTGTATCTTTGTGTTTAGGCTATCTGTATCTTTGTGTTAAGGCTACCCGTATCTTTGTGTTTAGGTTACCTGTATCTTTGTATTTAGGCTACCTGTATGTTTGTTACCTGTATCTTTGTGTTTAGGCTACCTGTATCTTTGTGTTTAGGTTACCTGTATCTTTGTATTTAGGCTACCTGTATGTTTCTTACCTGTATCTTTGTGTTTAGGCTACCTGTATCTTTGTGTTTATGTTATCTGTATCTTTGTATTTAGGCTACCTGTATGTTTGTTACCTGTATCTTTGTATTTAGGCTACCTGTATGTTTGTTACCTGTATCTTTGTATTTAGGCTACCTGTATGCATGTTACCTGTATCTTTGTGTTTAGGCTACCTGTATCTTTGTGTTTATGCTACCTGTATCTTTGTGTTAGGCTACCTGTATCTTTGTGTTTAGGCTACCTGTATCTTTGTGTTTAGGCTACCTGTATCTTAGAGTTGGGTTCTCCCAGCATCCTGAAGGTAGCTTTCATCACGGTGTGGACAAGTGGGCGTGGCCTCTGGTAGCTGTGGATCTCCGAGATGGTAGCCTTGTTGAGTGCTAGCACCTTGTGCATATACAGGCGGAGTCGACGCAGCTGTTGTCTCGTTGTTATAGCTTCCTGCACAGACAGGTTGTCAGGTAAGTCAGTGATACAGGTTGTCAGGTAAGTCAGTGTGTTACAAGGGTTGTCAGGTAAGTCGGTGATACAGGTTGTCAGGTAAGTCAGTGATACAGGTTGTCAGGTAAGTCGGTGATACAGGTTGTCAGGTAAGTCTGTGATACAGGTTGTCAGGGAAGTCAGTGATACAGGTTGCAGGTAAGTCGGTGATACAGGTTGTCAGGTAAGTCTGTGATACAGGTTGTCAGGGAAGTCAGTGATACAGGTTGTCAGGTAAGTCAGTGTGTTACACCGCTTGTCAGGTAAGTCAGTGATACAAGTTGTCAGGTAAGTCAGTGATACAGGTTGTCAGGTAAGTCAGTTTGTTATACAAGCTGTCAGGTAAGTCAGTGATACAGGTTGTCAGGTAAGTCAGTGATACAGGTTGTCAGGTAAGTCAGTGTGTTACACCGCTTGTCAGGTAAGTCAGTGATACAGGTTGCCAGGTAATTCAGTGTGTTACACCGCTTGTCAGGTAAGTCAGTGATACAGGTTGCCAGGTAATTCAGTGTGTTACACCGCTTGTCAGGTAAGTCAGTGATACAGGTTGTCAGGTAAGTCAGTTTCTTATACCGCTTGTCAGGTAAGTCAGTGTGTTACACGGGTTGTCAGGTAAGTCGGTGATACAGGTTGTCAGATAAGTCGGTGTGTCCTCCAAGTTATAAGGGTAAGTCAGTGACACAGTCAGTGTTTTATGCAGGTTGTCAGGTCAGTGTGTCAAACAGGTTGTCAACAAATACCATCGTGTCACACAGGTTGTAGGCAGGTTGTTAATGGACAGTTTATCGTGTTATACAGGTTGTTGAGTGGTTGTCAGGGAAAGTCATAGAATCACGCAGGTTGGATATACATGAATAGGTTGCCAGGTCAAACTTCACTAGTCAAACCATTTTATTTTCTTAAAAAAATATATTTTGAAGGTAAAGAAAATATTACTGCTTTTATAAATGTTTTAACAAAATTAATTTACAGTACAGTAAGAAGTTTAAAAACCAACAGCTAAAATCTCCGAGCATAAACTCACGTCCATTTCTTTAGTGTTACTCAAATCTATAGCAACATGGGATCTCTTTGCCGACTCTATAGCATTGTCTAGGTCGTCCAGCTTTCTCTCCAGAGTTGTCTTTCTTAGACCTGTTCACAAAATACAAGTTGATCAACATAACATGCAAAGTCTTATTTATCTCGGGGTCAACAGCTACATCAACACAACAGAAATATTTTTGCTTGAGTTTGTGTCAGAGGCGTAGCGACCCTTCCCGGCGCCCGGGGACAAACTTTTCGATTTGCTCCCCCCCCCCCCATTCAAGATTCAAGATTTTCGATTTGCACCCCCCCCCCCTCAAACTTTCGATTTGCACCCCCCCCCCCCTCTCAAACTTTCGATTTGCACCCCCCTCAACCTTTCAATTTATTTTTCCAACCCATTTTGGCGCCCCCTAAGGTCGGCGCCCGGGTACATATGTCGTCCCTCCCACCTCGCTACGCTACTGGTTTGTGTTGCTTTTGGTTGCGCCGGCGCCAGGTTATTTAGCGCCCTAGGCAAAACTCATCAAAACGCCCCCTTTCACACAAAATTAATTACTAAAACATATGTATAAGAAAACAATTAATTAATAGTGACATACAGGGGCGGAACTACAGTGCCGCCAGACCCCGCAATGCGGGGGGGCCCACGCCGTTTAGGGGCCCACAGCCGCCCATAATCCTTTTTTTAATAGCTGAAATTAATTTTCTTGCATTATTGACCTGATGGTTGTTTTGAAAAAAAGAATACTGTAGCTGCGTTTTGTCAGCAAAATTATTTTGAAAAAAACATCAAAATGCGCGAGAGGCCGCTAGATATTAAGACGGCTTTTTGAGACCATCCCAAATTTGGTGCTGATGGATAAAATCACATCGGTGCTTTGTTGTCCCTTTTAAGTTCTTTTCTCAGACCTCCCCTCCCGCTCTTAGCCTTACAAGAAGCAAATAGATAGCGCCTCAAAACTAAGCTGGCTTGTATCGGTGGTAGTGTTGACAAACTAGCGCTCCAACAACTAATATCCAAAAAAAAAACAAAGTGTCGACATTGTTTACGTTTAATAACCACTGTTCTAGAAACCAAGGCAAACGTCTCAAATATATACACGAATGACAGCGTGTTATATATATATATATATATATATATATATATATATATATATATATATATATATATATATATATATATATATATTAGTTTCGTCACTGGCACATTGATAGTGGTTTTGTAAATAACAAACAGATAACAGATCTAATACAGTAGTGATGTTATATAGTAGCTAAGACATGCTGTTGCGTAAACATTTTTTTTTTAAATATACACATAAGCTGTAGTGTGAAAGATAGGAAAACGTTCAAACCACTTCCATAAATTATTTCCCTTTTTCAAGTAATCAAATAGGGCTGCACATAAGCTTCTTTTAATAGATTTGTAATAATCAAATTAAACAGCAATTACTTATCTTAATTATTATTTTTTTTTTAAAAAGTAATAAAGAATGGTATAGCATAAAAATGAAATGTAGTTAAAATTAATAATATAAATACAAAAAAACAACATAAAAATAAACATAACACGAGACACCATTACTTATACAAAGGTTCATGATTTATATACTTTTGACCGACTTAACGATTAGACGTATTAAGGCAAACATAAATGAAAACAGATTTTTCAAAACAGACCAATGCACTCATACACATGACATGCTGTGATTAGATTTAATTGAATTTTTCTTTTCAAAACCCGATCAGGCCAGAAATGAGTATCCTATGTTAGTATTGTGTGTTTATATATATATATATATATATATATATATATATATATATATATATATATATATATATATATATATATATATATATATACATATATGGGGGGGGCCAAAAAAATTTTTTGCGGGGTGGCCCATTTTTTCTAGTTCCGCCACTGGTGACATATTAATCTATTATCAATTGCATACACGTTATAAGTAGACATCAAAATCATATTTTACTTGCCTCATTCGTCTTAAAAGTTTATACTAATTCCTTCAATTCCAGTTTGCAAGCGTAAGCACATTTTATTGAAATTGTTGCTAAGTCCAAGAATCTACTTTGTCCTTTACGACATAGCCCCCCCCCCCCCTCCATAGAAAATTTTAAGTACTCCCCCCCCCCCCCCCTCCTGGAAAAAAAAAGTCTGGAAAAAAAATACTAAAAAAAAAAGTTCTTGTAGTTTTGGGCTCTCTGCAGTCCTCCCAAGGTGAGTTCTAAAAACGGACCTTACCTGTTTTAAGCTTGACTGTCTTTAGTTATAATTGTAAAATGTCTATATTGTGTGCTTATGTAACGATTTTTGTTTTTGAAAAATAAAAGGTTATAAATGTTATAGATTCCAGCCTAAAATTGTTGTATATGAATCCTTTAGGAGAGGGTGAAACATATGAAAAGACAATTAATTAGATGTTTAATTTACGACTATGACTGTATGTTTTACTAACATCAAGTATTGCAATCTACAACGACTACTTATGTATTTGTTTTTCAATTTGATAATGTTAAAAAAAAACCTACCAAACTATTTTGTTAAGAACTTCTGCTCTATATAATTTTTACAATAGCAAATAATTACTTAAAGTTGTATTTATATGTAAGCGGCCAATCTAAGGTGCAGGAATTTGAAATGAATGATAAGTTAAGCAACGAATTACCTCCCATTTGAAAATCCAAATACCAACATTTTGTTCAAGGGAAATAACTTTCACAAGAATAGCTAAATTAACCAAGTATAACTAAGACATGTTTGAAAAACATAATAAAACGCTCTAGATTTCATTACGTTATAACAATTTCTTAAGTATTAGCTATGTAGCGTGTGCATATAATATAATCTACTTATTAAATAATGTAGGTTTTGCTTGAAAGTTTAAAAACGGTAGCTTTATTATAATATTCTTCTAATTTATTTTGATGATATACATTTGATTGTACATCACCGTCAATAAAGATATAGTGCTAATTTTGGACCCCTTTGAAGGGACGCCTTTCAAAAAAATCAAACACGGGTAGAAATCTGTTTCACATTTCTAGAATTATTGATTAAATATTTTTTTAAACTTATTTTGAAAACACAAAGTTTGCGGCTAGTTATAAAATTCCGTTTTATTTAATATTAAATATTAATACTTTAAGAGTGGTGATATATATTCCTAAAAAACTAAAGATTTTTCAACTAGAAAACGCCTACCTTTCTTTGTAGTGTGTTCCGTACTGAATTGAAATCATCTAACCTACGATAAACTTGACTACCCGCTACACTCTACTACATTCACAACACATATCAAACTTCGATAACTAAACATAACTCGACTCGATGCTCCAGAACCACAACACCAACTCGCTTAACTTCACCAAGCTCTACAACGATCAACAACGATTACACTGGACCTTTTACTACACTTTAACAGAACTACGATACTTCATCACCTGCATTCTCCTTTCTCTATTACCAATCCGATTCCACTAGATCTTCAACTACAAAACAGCCGAATAAAAATTATGACACTTTAACACTTCGATACTTTATACCCATGAAACCATATTAGCAACAGCCTTCCGCCGTTACTCCCAAATCTAAACGATTCATCAAAACGTACCAAAAAAGTATAATACTTTGAACACCCCGTCATTACAAAACTATATACACCAGGACAGATTTCTAATTCAAAGTCAGAGAAAACGAGACTTACAAGTTACATTACAATTAGATAACCGTTTGAAATGTTCGAAATTTAAATTACGAACTTATTTAATCGTTTTCTACATCAATTATGTGACATAAAAAAAATAAAGACAAAGTGGCTGGTAAAAAGCGCCCCGACCTTCCGATATTAGGGAGGTGAGGTTGCATTTTCACTATCTCGAACAAATATAGGATTTGTGGCCCCTAAATATTGAGGACAGCTTTGTGTAATTGTGGATTATTTGATGACAACTTTGACAAGACATTGTATTAAGGTGGTCAGCTAAGACTAAACATTGTGTCAATGTGTCCAGTTAAACATTACGTCAATGTGTCCATTAAAACATTACGTCAATGTGTCCATTAAAACATTACGTCAATGTATCCATTAAAACATTATGTCAAAGCGTCCAGTGAAACATTGTGTCAATGTGTCCAGTTAAACATGTCAATGTGTCGAGTGAAACATCGTGTCAATATGTCCAGTTAAGCAATACGTCAATGTGTCCAGTTAAACAAGATGTCGATGTGTCCAGTTAAACAGTGTGCTAATGTGTCCAGTGAAACATCGTGTCAATGTGTCCATTAAAACATTACGTCAATGTATCCAGTTAAACAATACGTCAGTGTGTCCAGTTAACACTGTGTCAGTGTGTCCAGTTAAACATTACGTCAATGTGTCCAGTTAACACTTTGTCAGTGTGTCCAGTTAAGCATTATGTCAATGTGTCCAGTTAAACAATACGTCAATGTGTCCAGTTAAACATCGTGTCAACGTTAAACTCACGCTGTAAGTGCAGCTGATACAGCTTGTGCCTTGCCCTGGTCAGATCCCCGTTGTCCGGCAAACCGTTCTTCTCAAACTCTTCTATCGCCATCTCCAGTTTGTCGATGTCGTTCTTCTGTGTGGCGGACACCAGCGCCTTCCTGATCCTGTCTTCCTCGTTCTGTAAACAAACATGTTTCAATTCGCTTTTTTTACTTTCTCGTATAAAGAGTAGGCTATATAGGAAGTATTGTAATCGTACACAAAAATTGAAGAAATTTTGTCAGTGTTCATCATTTTACACCTCAGTACTTCATCATATACGGAGTATAGGGGACTTATTTTAATCGGGCAAAAATTAAAAATGCAGATTTATCAAAATTTCAGCGTTCTAGCGTTATCGAGATGGAAAAACTGGGCTTTGCAATTCTGTCTGTATGTCTGTGTGTATGTGTGTGTTTGTGTCTGAAAACACGATAACTTGAGTACTATTACAGCTAGGTTGACAAAATTTCATATACAAGTATTATATCAAATGTGTAGGCTAGTTCTGTATCAACTGTTCAGCGATTTCCGGTAACCGGAAGTGGAACTTATTCTACTTTCCATTTTTTTTAAAAGCCTAAAACTTGAGTACTGTTTCTGAGAGATAAATGAAATTTCACATGTAAGTAAAAGATCTAATTCTCTGCCTAGAATATTCGAGAAAGTTTAGGGGAGATCACTCCCGCTTTATTTGTCTCGTTAATCATAAAATAAGTTTTCATGCTGTACAAATATTTGTCCTTATAGTTCTTATACAACTTTCCTTATTCGTGATAACATCGTCCATTATATTTGTTCTATAATGCTCATTTTTGTAAAAAGAAATGGCCAGCTATCATACATACGACTTGCTTTAAAGTATCCAGTATATCCACGACTTAGGTTTAATATATCCAGTATATCCACGACTTAAGTTATTGACTGACCTTATTGACCCCAGGACGTGGCTGGATGACCGCTGTCTTCCTCCTCCAGTTCTCATCCACTAGCAGGTAGTAGGCCACAACAGTGAACAGACGGGAGGCGTTGGCGGGCCGCACAGAGATCTGGAACATGTGTAACTGGCTTAGCCAGGCTAACTTACGACAGTGGTTAAATGTGGGGTAAATATAACACGGGAACATGCAACTAACATAGCCTGGCTAACTTACGACAGTGGTTAATGGTGGGGCTAATATAACTCGGGAACATGCAACTAACATAGCCTGGCTAACTTACGACAGTGGTTAGTTGTGGGGTAAATATAACACAGGAACATGCAACTCACTTAGCCAGGCTACCTTACGAAAGTGGTTAAATGTGGGGGAAATATAACTAGGGAACATGTGCAACTCACTTAGCCTGGCTAACTTACGACAGTGGTTAAATGTGGGGGAAATATAACACGGGAACATGCAACTCACTTAGCCTGGCTAACTTACGACAGTGGTTAAATGTGGGGGAAATATAACTAGGGAACTGGTGCAACTCACTTAGCCTGGCTAACTTACGACAGTGGTTAAATGTGGGGGAAATATAACTAGGGAACATGTGCAACTCACTTAGCCTGGCTAACTTACGACAGTGGTTAAATGTGGGGGAAATATAACACGGGAACATGCAACTCACTTAGCCTGGCTAACTTACTACAGTGGTTAAATGTGGGGGAAATCTAACACGGGAACATGTGCAACTCACTTAGCCTGGCTAACTTACGACAGTGGTTAAATGTGGGAGAAATATAACAAGGGAACATGTGCAACTCAATTAGGTAGCTAGCTTACAAGTGTTAATTTAGGGAAAATATAGCGGTTATATGCAACTCATTTAGCGAGCTAACTTACAACAATGGTTAATTGTGGGGCTAATTTAACACGGGAACATGCAACTAACTTAGCCAGATAGCTTACATCAATGGTTAATTGTGGGGCAAATATAACTAGGCAACATGTGCAACTAACTTAGCCAGGCTAACTTCTGACAGTTGTTAATTTTGGGGCAAATATAACACGGGAACATGCAACTGACTTATAACAATGTAAGTTGATTAGGGAGCGTAGCGGTGTGGCAGTCGATCGGATTACAACATTCACCGTTTTAAGTCATCACAGAAAAGCATAAATGTTCAAACTAATTTTACTCAAGAAATTAAAATTAAAATATAAGCCTACTTAGCTTTGTTTTAGCATCTTTTAATAATTATGAATTATCAATTAGGTATCAACTTTAAGAAGGTCAATAGAGAAATGATAAGTGGACAAGTTGATGGGTTTAGTCTTACAATTGATTACTGTGTTATCCAGGTGGTAGCTTTTATTATTTGTAGATGTGACATCTATTTCATGTCGTTTATATTACTAATGTTGTTACATTAGTTTCCTTTCAATGTTAGATAACTGACAAACTTAGAGCCAGGAAAATCTGCAAATGTTTCCTGTGTAAAACCTACTAATAACATTAGTCTGTTAAACAAAATACAGGCTTTAAACTGTTGTGTCAAAAAAGCGATAATTTAATTTAAACTTTAGGTGTCCAATGCTAAGCTTTAGCGTCCCATTCTAAGCTTTAGAGTCCCATTCTAAGCTTAAGGATCCCATTATAAACTTTAGGGTCCCATTGTAAAATGTAGGGATCCCATTATAAATTTTACGATATCCTTAAAGCTAAATGAATAGCATGAAAAATGTTAAAAAGTACAGATAGATTTCCCAGTTAAATAAATAGTATTATAATCTTCCGCCATAAATTAACCTTTGACTGAAATAAAATGCAATCTAAGTCGTTCCTGTATTTATAAATAGGCTTAGCCTTATCAAAACATCATGGTGTCTACGAACTGTCAGTAGTGTAAGCTCTCGATCGTAAGCACACAATATCGATCCATCTAAAAATGGGGATTTCTTCAGTAATTAACAAAAACAGGATAATGTGTAGTCATCCGAGACCTTTCAAAAGACCTAATGACCTATGAAGCAACTGACCTGCAAGCCGTACTCCAGGTGTGTCTCATCCGGTACTGCGACTGTCACGTGGACCTCATCAGACGTGGTTTTGGTGGAAATAAAATCTTCGAAATCCTCCGACGGAATCTTGGTGTGGGACATGGTGGCCTGCACCTCTAGGGGCTGGGTGCACGTGAAGGAGAAATGTTTCTGCTGGGCCGGCTTGACCAGCACGATGCCAGAGTCTGGGATGGGGTCAGAGATTCCGAACTGACTGGCCACCGGCTGCAGCCCTAAACCCCCCGTGGGGTGGATGGGGAAGGGCTGGGGGTCTCTGCCTAGATCGTCACACTGTAAAATAAACTTCACTAACTTCGGTTCACTCGGATCCGAACCTCCGAAAACATCCACCTCGTATTTTCCTCTAACCGGAAACCGGATGACCACCGACTTCCGGTTTGAGGAGCGAGAGACCAAAGTGTAGTCCTTCATCTGGACGTGCTGCGGCATGTCTTCTTCCGACTCGGCGTCCTTGAAGGTCACCGTGGCGTCAAGGTCAATCTCCTCGTACTGGTGATGATCGAAGTCGATGATGCAGACGCCGTTGTCGCTGTAGATGATGGCGTTGTATTTTTTGGGCAGCATGAGCCCCGAGGTGAAGTAGTGCTCCGTGAAGAGCGGGCTCTTGACGAACTTCTTGTGCTCCCATCTGACCTTGAGCAGCTGCCAGGGGTCGGAGTGAGGCTTGCAGAAACAGATGAGTCGGTTGGCGTCAATCAGCCAGTAGAACTCGTACAGGGAGGCGCGTTTGGTGCCGGCAGGTGGCCGTTTCCTGGAACAAGAATATTAGATGTTATATATAGATCTATTACAACGATTGCCAGCAACCGAATCAAGAATACGAGATGTTTAATATGCATCTATTACAACGATTTCGGGTATGTACATCTAGAAGTGTGTAGTTGCTTTTTTGCGAGATACACAGGGATAATGTCCTTAATATCAGAATTTGAGGTATAAAATTAATATAAGATAAAAAAAATTTGATAATGAAAATTCTAAAGAGAGATGAAATAAGTAGAATTGCAAGAATTGTATGTTAACGATCTGAAAATTTGATGATAAAAAACGCAGTTTATTTAAACCTTAGCATTATACTGTATCATATGTACAGCGAGAATATTCACTGCTCCAATTATTGGGAGAAATCTTCATTATAATAGGTTTTTTTTTATCTCAATGAAAAGTTTATCTGAGTGAAGAAAGTGATGTGTAACTGGGGTTAATGACAGGAGAAGAGGAAGATTTTTGTGGCCCTGTAATGGTTGGTAATATGCCTAACTGAGCTGAAAACAGAACGGTAACTCTGTCTGCCCATAGCATCTACAATAAAACCAGTATCTTCCCTTTGATTTTTTCAGCATGTAACCTTTACGTAAAATGTTAATATTGTAATGTACAAAGACAGAATTGTCCCCACCAGAAAGCTAAGTCAGATATATCCCCACACCAACAGGCAGACATACACCCAACCCATAAGACAGAAATACCAAACCCAACACTAAGACAGACATACACCTACTCCACCCATAAAACAGACATACCCATCCTAGCACTAAGACACACATACCCACACCAACACTAAGACAGACATGCCCCCACCCCACCAGACAGACATGCCCCCACCCCACCAGACCTACACCCACCCCACCAGACAGACATGCCCCACCCCACCAGACCTACACCCACCCCACCAGACCTACACCCGCCCCACCAGACAGACATGCCCCACCCCACCAGACAGACATGCCCCCACCCCACCAGACCTACACCCACTCCACCAGACCTACACCCACCCCACCAGACAGACATGCCCCACCCCACCAGACAGACATGCCCCCACCCCACCAGACCTACACCCACTCCACCAGACCTACACCCACCCCACCAGACAGACATGCCCCCACCCCACCAGACCTACACCCACCCCACCAGACAGACATGCCCCCACCCCACCAGACCTACACCCACTCCACCAGACCTACACCCACCCCACCAGACCGACATGCCCCCACCCCACCAGACCTACACCCACCCCACCAGACAGACATGCCCCCACCCCACCAGACCTACACCCACTCCACCAGACAGACATGCCCCCACCCCACCAGACAGACATGCCCCCACCCCACCAGACCTACACCCACCCCACCAGACCGACATGCCCCCACCCCACCAGACCTACACCCACCCCACCAGACAGACATGCCCCCACCCCACCAGACCTACACCCACCCCACCAGACAGACATGCCCCCACCCCACCAGACCTACACCCACCCCACCAGACCTACACCCACCCCACCAGACCTACACCCACTCCACCAGACCTACACCCACCCCACCAGACCGACATGCCCCCACCCCACCAGACCTACACCCACCCCACCAGACAGACATGCCCCCACCCCACCAGACCTACACCCACTCCACCAGACAGACATGCCCCCACCCCACCAGACAGACATGCCCCCACCCCACCAGACCTACACCCACCCCACCAGACCGACATGCCCCCACCCCACCAGACCTACACCCACCCCACCAGACAGACATGCCCCCACCCCACCAGACCTACACCCACCCCACCAGACAGACATGCCCCCACCCCACCAGACCTACACCCACCCCACCAGACCTACACCCACCCCACCAGACCTACACCCACCCCACCAGACAGACATGCCCCCACCCCACCAGACCTACACCCACCCCACCAGACCTACACCCACCCCACCAGACCTACACCCACTCCACCAGACCTACACCCACCCCACCAGACAGACATGCCCCCACCCCACCAGACCTACACCCACTCCACCAGACAGACATGCCCCCACCCCACCAGACCTACACCCACTCCACCAGACCTACACCCACCCCACCAGACAGACATGCCCCCACCCCACCAGACCTACACCCACCCCACCAGACCTACACCCACCCCACCAGACCTACACCCACCCCACCAGACAGACATGCCCCCACCCCACCAGACCTACACCCACCCCACCAGACCTACACCCACCCCACCAGACCTACACCCACTCCACCAGACCTACACCCACCCCACCAGACAGACATGCCCCCACCCCACCAGACCTACACCCACTCCACCAGACAGACATGCCCCCACCCCACCAGACCTACACCCACCCCACCAGACCTACACCCACTCCACCAGACCTACACCCACCCCACCAGACAGACATGCCCCCACCCCACCAGACCTACACCCACCCCACCAGACAGACATGCCCCCACCCCACCAGACCTACACCCACTCCACCAGACAGACATGCCCCCACCCCACCAGACAGACATGCCCCCACCCCACCAGACCTACACCCACCCCACCAGACAGACATGCCCCACCCCACCAGACAGACATGCCCCACCCCACCAGACAGACATGCCCCCACCCCACCAGACCTACACCCACCCCACCAGACAGACATGCCCCCACCCCACCAGACCTACACCCACCCCACCAGACCTACACCCACCCCACCAGACAGACATGCCCCCACCCCACCAGACCTACACCCACCCCACCAGACCTACACCCACCCCACCAGACAGACATGCCCCCACCCCACCAGACAGACATGCCCCCACCCCACCAGACAGACATGCCCCCACCCCACCAGACAGACATGCCCCCACCCCACCAGACCTACACCCACCCCACCAGACAGACATGCCCCCACCCCACCAGACAGACATGCCCCCACCCCACCAGACAGACATGCCCCCACCCCACCAGACAGACATGCCCCCACCCCACCAGACAGACATGCCCCCACCCCACCAGACAGACATGCCCCCACCCCACCAGACAGACATGCCCCCACCCCACCAGACCTACACCCACCCCACCAGACAGACATGCCCCCACCCCACCAGACAGCCCTACACCCACCCATCAATGTATGTCTGTTTCTCCTTGAAGATGGCCCAGCACTAAGACAGACATGCCCCCCACCAGACCTACACACACCCCACCAGACAGACTTACACCCACCCATCAATATATGTCTGTTTCTCCTTGAAGATGGCCCAGCACTAAGACAGACATGCCCCCCACCAGACCTACACACACCCCACCAGACAGACTTACACCCACCCATCAATGTATGTCTGTTTCTCCTTGAAGATGGCCCAGCACTAAGACAGACATGCCCCCCACCAGACCTACACACAGCCCACCAGACAGACTTACACCCACCCATCAATGTATGTCTGTTTCTCCTTGAAGATGGCCCAGCACTAAGACAGACATGCCCCCCACCAGACCTACACACACCCCACCAGACAGACTTACACCCACCCATCAATGTATGTCTGTTTCTCCTTGAAGATGGCCCAGCACTAAGACAGACATGCCCCCCACCAGACCTACACACACCCCACCAGACAGACCTACACCCACCCATCAATGTACGTCTGTTTCTCCTTGAAGATGGCCCAGCACTAAGATAGACCTACACCCACCCATCAATGTACGTCTGTTTCTCCTTGAAGATGGCCCAGCACTAAGACAGCCCTACACCCACCCATCAATGTATGTCTGTTTCTCCTTAAAGATGGCCCACAGCGGGTGTACGAGCCTCCATGAACCAGACACGTAGACGGCGTTCCAGGCGCTCTCTAGAGCCGACATATCTTGTTGACCGATCCTGTACTTGTCCCCTTTGGCCACGCCCCTGATGACGTTACATGGTATCCCAGCAGCTCTGTGGAGATGTCAGTTATTTATGTCAGTGGTCAGTTATTGATGTCAGTGTCAGTTATTAATGTCAGTGTCAGTTATTGATGTCAGTGGTCAGTTATTGATGTCAGTGGTCAGTTATTGATGTATGTCAGTGGTCAGTTATTGATGTCAGTGGTCAGTTATTGATGTCAGTGGTCAGTTATTGATGTCAGTGGTCAGTTATTGATGTATGTCAGTGGACAGTTATTGATGTCAGTGGTCAGTTATTGATGTCAGTGGTCAGTTATTGATGTCAGTTGTCAGTTATTGATGTCAGTGGTCAGTTATTGATGTCAGTGGTCAGTTATTGATGTATGTCAGTGGTCAGTTATTGATGTCAGTGGTCAGTTATTGATGTCAGTGGTCAGTTATTGATGTCAGTGGTCAGTTATTGATGTATGTCAGTGGTCAGTTATTGATGTCAGTGGTCAGTTATTGATGTCAGTGGTCAGTTATTGATGTCAGTTGTCAGTTATTGATGTCAGTGGTCAGTTATTGATGTCAGTGGTCAGTTATTGATGTATGTCAGTGGTCAGTTATTGATGTCAGTGGTCAGTTATTGATGTCAGTGGTCAGTTATTGATGTCAGTGGTCAGTTATTGATGTATGTCAGTGGTCAGTTATTGATGTCAGTGGTCAGTTATTGATGTCAGTGGTCAGTTATTGATGTCAGTGGTCAGTTATTGATGTCAGTGGTCAGTTATTGATGTCAGTGGTCAGTTATTGATGTATGTCAGTAGTCAGTTATTGATGTATGTCAGTGGTCATTTATTGATGTCAGGTGGTCAGTTATTGATGTCAGTGGTCAGTTATTGGTGTCAGCGGTCAGTTATTGATGTCAGAGGTCAGTTATGGATGTCAGTGGTCAGTTATAAATGCCAGTAGTCAGTGATAACTATTAGTTCTCTGTTTTTTGCATTAGTGATTGGTCATTAATATAAGCGGTCATTTGTTAATATTGGTGACCAGTCTCTAGTAATTAATTTTAATGGACAATCATTAATGATCAATTATTAATGGTGAGTCATAAGCGGACAGTCAGTATTGGTCAGTCACTACTACTAGTAGAAATGTTAACCGTCATTTTATGTGGATGATTCCCATCCTGATTAGTAACTTAAGTGATTGAAAAAAACACGATTGTTGTTATTAAATGTAGGAAAATCACTATCTTGTCAATTTAACTGCGCTTAAAAGCACTAGAAACAATTATTTAGAATGTTTCCAGTCATGAGTTTGAGCACATGAAATCATGATCTAATTCATAAACCAGATCTTTTAGTTTTTGTTTTAAATGCAGCAGCTATAGTCTTGTAAAAAAAAATAAACGAAAAAGAAAAAAAAAAAAGAAAATATAGCTTAAACCGACCGGCAGAGTTGAGCGAAGAACGCCTCGTACACATTCTATAGCTAGTTTTGTACACACCGGCAGAGTTGAGCGAACATTGCCTCGTACACATTCTATAGCTAGTTTTGTACACACCGGCAGAGTTGAGCGAACATTGCCTCGTACACATTCTATAGCTAGTTTTGTACACACCGGCAGAGTTGAGCGAAAAACGCCTCGTACACATTCTATAGCTAGTTTTGTACACACCGGCAGAGTTGAGCGAAAAACGCCTCGTACACATTCTATAGCTAGTTTTGTACACACCGACAGAGTTGAGCGAAGAACGCCTCGTACACATTCTATAGCTAATTGTGTACGTACCGGCAGAGTTGAGCGAAAAACGCCTCGTACGACCCGTCGCTTGTCTTGATGAGCTTCATGTAGCCCCGGGGCGTGTACGGGTCCTTGACCCCGCTGTAGAAGGAGCCGTGGATGTCCTGATGGAAGAGCCACACCATGATGGCTCTCAGCTTCTGCAGCTCCGTCACACAGTTGGCGCAGATGGACTTGATCAGGGTGTCGTAGGTCGTCGCTCGCATGCTGGGAAGTTGCTGGAAGTGGAGGGACAGGGGTTAGATAATTGGTGGGTGTAATCACAGGGGTAAGCTAATTGGTGGGTGTAATTATAGGGGTAAGCTAATTGGTGGGTGTAATCACAGGGGTAAGCTAATTGGTGGGTGTAATCACAGGGGTAAGCTAATTGGTGGGTGTAATCACAGGGGTAAGCTAATTGGTGGGTGTAATCACAGGGGTAAGCTAATTGGGGGGTGTAATCACAGGGGTAAGCTAATTGGTGGGTGTAATCACAGGGGTAAACTAATTGGTGGGTGTAATCACAGGGGTAAGCTAATTGGTGGGTGTAATCACCGGGGTAAAATAATTAATGGATATAGACACACAGGAGTAAGCTAATTAATGTATATAGACACAAGGGGTAAAATAATTAATAGATATAGACCCACAGGTGTAGGCTAATCAATGGATATAGACCTACAGGGGTAAACTAATTCAGGGATGTAGACCTACAGGGGTAAGCTAATTAATGGATATGGACATACAAAGGATGAAGACAAACGGGGATAATCTAATTGATGGGTTTTAATGCTTAAGTAAACTAATTATTTGGTAAAAATGTGAAGACATGCATTAAATGAAAGAGAAATACATTGACAAACCGTTAAGGATATTGATAAATAAAGAATCTCGTATGACAAACAAAGTATCTGATAAAGCTAACTAAACAGATTCCGTTTAGGCAGTGGCGTAGACAGGAATCGGTCATTGGAGGGGTTCAAAAAAATGTTCCATATATATATATATATATATATATATATATATATATATATATATATATATATATATATATATATATATATATATATATAGTATACATTGGCTTTATTTATAGGGGTGGGGGGTCCATGGGAGGGGTTATAACCCCCTCTAATCCCCCCCTTGCCTACGCCACTGCGTTAAGGACACTGACCTGCTTGACTCTAGCATCAATGGCCGTGTAGTCTGAGGGCTTGTAGAAGTCATCTTTGTAGTTAGGTGCGGGGGTGGGCGCGGGGTACTTCGGGTCAATATCTGGGACTATTATCTGTAGGAGAAACAATATCTGGGACAGTTATCTGTAGGAGAAACAATATCTGGGACAGTTATCTGTGGGAGAAACAATATCTGGGATAGTTATCTGTAGGAGAAACAATATCTGGGACAGTTATCTGTGGGAGAAACAATATCTGGGATAGTTATCTGTAGGGGAAACAATATCTGAGCCAGTTATCTGTAGGAGAAACGATATCTGGGACAGTTATCTGATGGGAGAATCAATATCTGGGACAATTATCTGTAGGAGAAACATTATTTGGGATAGTTATCTGTAGGAGAAACAATATCTGGGACATTTATCTGATGGGAGAATCAAACACGCTTTTCTTTTTAATTATTTAAATAGTAGAGTATTATAATATTTTTTATAATCATTTATTTTCTCCTCATTAGTGCATTTTACCATAAAAGCTTGTTATTAAAACGGGTTTCTACTCTACTATCTAAATAACTTACACATGTTATTAACAGTAACAAAACCATTCTGAAGATAAGTTTAAAATTCTACACATATCAAATGTATGGGCTGTTTGGGCCAGGCCATTATTTCCTTTATGTACAGAGCAATAGATAATAAATAATACATAAAATAGTAGTAAGGGTTCGTCCATAAATGAGGTCACACTCGTAGGGGGAGGGGGGGTCGGTAATTTTGTGACGATGTGTGATGAGGGCGGGGGGGGGGGGGGGGGGTTCAGAAGGTGCGACATCACACTTTTGCTTTATAGAAAAGAAATGTTAGAAAACGAATTTTAGACGTTATTTTGCGTTTTAGAAAACAGTTTTAATAAATTGTATTAAATTGATTAAAATACTCTATTTTGACAAATTTTAGACAAGATTTTTGAAAAATATCGATGTTTAAAAAAAAATCCAACTGCAATTTTGAGGGTGGTTTATAGGCTGAGGTGTGACGTCATTTTAGGGGGGGGGGTCTGGTTTCTTGTGACGAAGTGTGACGGAGGGGAGGGTGGGGGGGGGGTAAAAATCGTCCAAAAAAGCGTGACGTCACTTATGGATGACCCCTAAATCGTGTTATTACAATGTTTTATTGTAGGCTGTGTGTAAAAAAAAAAGCTTTAAACAAATTACAAAGAATAATCGAAGCGAAGCGAGGTGGGGTCATGGGGGTATGGAGGTGGGGGTCATGAGGGCAAAAAACATCAGGATGGGAGGGGTAGGGTGAGACAACGGGGGGGGGTGATGTGTTCTGATGTTTGTTCGTAGTGTCTGTGTATTTATCTTTTTCATTGCGTACATTGTGGACAAAAAGGCGATAATTAATAGGAACCAAATAAAATAGTAACTCGAGTCTTCACAATGGTTGTTTGTATGATGTCTGGCTGTACAACAGATTGAGAAAAAAAAAGGAAAAAAAACAATATTGAAACAAATGGATAACAAATAATCAATGCGAATCGAGGTGGGGGGCATGGGGGTATAAGAATGGGGTCATGTTAGCTAAAATGGGAGGGTGGTAGTGAGACACCCAAGGCGGTGATGTGTATCTAAAGTGTTGTGGTGTTTTGTTCGGATTGTACGATATTTATGTGATTTGTTTGTCGAGTCGTCTGTTGAAAATTCGGTCCAGAGTCTCTTTGGATAGCCCGGAAAGAGTAGATTGTGCTCGCTTGGTCAGGTGTGTAGGGCTAACGATCAGCGCGACCACAAAACAGGGGGAGAGGCGGTTTGTTATGGAAACACGTGCAGCGTAAAGTTGAGTAAAAGCAATATAATGACGTCACTTTAATTAGTCCTGACCCATGTAGTCGTTGATAGCTAGTCAGCCACAAATGACAGTAAAAAGTTCGGTCTACAGCATCTTCAAAAAAAAATGTGTATCACTGCCTGCAATCTCTGACTTATAAAAAATAGTGGGTAAAAAGCCTTTAAAATTGAGAGGCAGGTTATACAGCTTCTGTGCGCGATCATTCTATCGCTAAAGAACAATTTCAGATAATCTAAGCACATTCACATAAACGCAGTAAAATAACACACCGTAGACTTTTGGACATCTTTTTAACTTTCAATTTTTAATTAGGCCTAATAATAGATGTTACAGAAGAGCCCTATATTGCATGTAAATGAATTAGTCATTTTGCAGCATGTTTTGAGAGGTCTACAAAATTTTTGTGGACGTCCAAAATGAAGGGGGGGGTTCGTCGAAAGTGGACGCATGTAGAAGGTGGAAAGGGAGTATCTATAATTCAAAATTGTTAGGCGTCTTTAATGATATAGACCAGGGATCGGCTACCTTATGGGGCGGGAGAGCCAAAAGTTACAATTTTCAAAATCTCCTAGTTTTTAGAGAGCCACTTACAAATATGTTATTTTTTTTTCAATATTATGATATTTGATTTGGATAAGGTAAATAAATTTAAAATAAATTGGTTTAAGTGTGAAATAATATTTATTCATATAAAAACATACACATGTTTCGCAAAAACATAATAAATGATTTTAGCTAGCTCTGCTAGGATAATCTAATTAAATAGCACTATCCCTACCCAATTCAGAAGCTTATAACTAAAAAAACTATGTCAAATTAATGCATACTGACACATACAAAAATGCCTTCTGGATAAAATAACAAATACAATTTAAAATATTCGAAAAAATAAATAAAATATGCACTTCGGTAGTGGAAAGCATGGAACCACTGCCACGGGGCTGACCATTGTATGTTGTCAGCATACAATCTACTCCACCTATTCTTAGAGTTTTTATCTTGTTTAAAGTTGTTGTGTTGTTAAAGTATAATATTTTTAGCGCAATTTCCATTCTGGAGAATTGCGTTTATTAACTCGTCATTTCTGGGAATGGATGGATGAATGAATGAATGTATGGATGAATGTGTGTCCGGGCTTTAAGTCGTATCTCCTCCTCAACGAAGCAATATCGATGACTAGTTCCAAAAGCAATTATGTTAAGCAAGTTACGAGAATGAGCATAGGCCATAAAAATTCCGGGTTTCTTTCATTTATTTCCCGGAAAAGCCAAAAAACCTCGAAAAAATTCAGTTTTTGGCCCATATCTCGGCAACCAGACCACTTAGCGACTTGAAACATGTACCAATCGATTCCTGCCATAATTTAGAACAATATTGCCGTAGAAAGTTTTCAAAAATATCCTCTAGTTCAGTGACAAATTTTAAAATTACATAAACACCTACAAACCGATCGTTCTTCTAGCTTGAGCGCACCCCAGCATTATACGTCAGAGCTATTTTTAGATAACATAAGGAAATTGCGCATAAATGTCACTAGACTTTTTTAATTAACTTGTTTATAAGTTATGAAAATAAAATAATATAATAATTATGAAATTTGCGAGCCGCATCCTGACATAAAGGGAGCCGCATGCGGCTCTCGAGCCGCAGGTCACCGACCCCTGACATAGACGGAATTTTCATTTTATTTTTTATTTTTTATTTTTTTTTTTTTTTTTTGAAAAAAAAATGTACGGACCAGGAAGATCACTAACAGAAGCAGTTTTTTTTTAGCAGTTAAATACAATAAACATTCTAAATGCTCCATTCGCCGTTGTTGAATGTGGGTGATTACTCTTATTTTATTTTAATACTAATTTACTCACTGTAACAATAAGAGGGTTATTATTGTTATTTTATAATAAATACTATTTAACTCACTGAATCTATGGACGAGTTATCGTTCTCGTTTTATTTAAAGACTATTAAACTCACTGGGTCCATGGGTGGGTGATCGGTCCTAGTTTATACTAAATACATTTTAACTCACTGAATCTATGGGTGGGTTATCGTTCCTGGCTCCACTTTGCTTGTCATGTTTCTCGGGTTTCTCCCCATCCGTCTTTGAGCTGCCGCAGCCCATGTTGTCTAAATGAGCTTGGTCACTGGATGGTCAACGGAACACGAGGTGGGCTTGTGTCCAGTGTGTCTGCAGTATACTTTATCCGGCACATCTAGGTCGAAAAAATATGTTAAAAAATTTAAAATTGTCTAAGAATTTTAAAGCAATTTTCTTTCAAAAAATATTTTAGTTTCTTATAGAACATTCCATTTTAAAATAATTTTTGGTTTTCGGTGTATAACCTACTTGGTTATTAACAAGTTTATTTTAGACAACTTTGCAAATACGCTTGGAATAAGTGTTTTAAAAACTGAATAACTATAGTTCAAAAATGTAATCAAGTTCTAATGGCCGAATGAGCTGACATTTGGCACAGCGGTAATTTTTAGCGCAATTTCCATACGGACAATTGCGATTATTAACTCGTCATTTCTGGATGTATGAATGGATGTATGGAAGTGTGTCCGCAGCTTTAAGTCGTATCTCCTCCTCAACGAAGCAATATCGAGGACTAGTTCCAAAAGCAATTATGTTAAGCAAGTTCCAAGGATGATTGTGGGACAATAAAATTCCCGGAATTCCTTCCTGGATTTCCCGGAAAAGCCAAACAACCTCGAACAAATGCAGTTTTTGGTCCATATCTCGGCAACCAGACCACTTAGCGACTTGAAACATTTACCAATCGATTCCTGTCATAATTTAGAACAATATTGCCGAAGAAAGTTTTCAAAAATATCCTTTCGTTCGGTCACAAAAATTAATTAAGAATTTTTAAACTGAGCATCGTGTAGGCCTATGATGATATTTTAAATTTAAACTGAGCATCGTGTAGGTTTTTAGCGCAAAAAAATATCCTTTCGTTCGGTCACAAAAAAATTAAAAATTGTTATGGATAACATAAGGAAATTGCGCTTAAATTGTCACTAGACTTTTTATTAACTTGTTTAATGGCAATGCAAGAAAATCCGATTTTTTATCTAATAAAATGCTTATACGAAATGGATAATTTTATTTCAACATTACTGAATTGTGTATGTTAATCCGCAAGTATTGAAATATTAATTTAATACACTTCCCATAGTCAAATTGAGCTGAAATCTGGGACTGTGGTGGATCTTGGATGATAAAATGCAAGAATATTCAATTGGTATCTAATTAAATAGAAATTAAATTTATAAATAACTGTATTTAATTACGATGTTTCAAGAGCTTGATTTATTTACTTATAAAACTCGGGAGCCCTGGGACCTTGGTTTCGCGGCCGATACGCCACTGACCATTCTCTGATGTCGTGTGATACGCCACTGGCCAGGCTCTGAAGTCGTGTGATACGCCACTGACCAGGCTCTGATGTCGTGTGATACGCCACTGACCAAGCTCTGATGTTGTGAAACATTAGAGTGGGGGACTCTAATTGAAGCAGCAATGTATCGCTGTGAGAGAAATTTTTTCCTTGTCGTACTTGCAAAAAGAATTTAATTGCATTCTCCCTTATCAATTTCTCAAAAAAAACGTAGTTTGTTACAAAACATTATGGTCCACATTTCCCTCTGCCAAACATTGATATACACTGGATCAATCAAGTTCAAATGTAAACAAATACCAGGACCAAGGCTAGTTGCTTTAACAAGGGCCCTTTATCATAGTAGCTGGTTCATATTGCCCTTATCTAAGTCTTTAACATGTACGTTAGTGCCTTTATCTATAACAGAGTTCTAAATCAGAAGGGATTATTTCTACTTAGTCTAAAGCACAATAAGTTTAAAATACTTAAAATCTCCTTTTGAAATATTTTTTTAGAAAAAGATTTGATTCGCATGTTCCCCCTTATATAGTCTACCTTTAGGCTTAAAAGTTAATTTATGAATTCCTTGAGGTGTCTTATCGCAGTCGCAGATTGAATGAAAGATGAAAGACTAATTCTTCTTAGGGAGGGGGGGGGCGATTTCCTGGTGTTTTAAATTGTTCTTGGTCAACGCCTGGACCGTAACACAAAATCACGTGACGTGACCCGTGTTGCCGTGGGTTGACTGGTTACAGGTGTCCCTACAGGTAAACATTTGTCCCGTGTGGTTGTACATAGGAGTTGTCTTTTCATGGCGGACACGAGTTGTCGTTCATGGCACGAGAAAGCTAAAGAGGGCAGTAAAAAGCTCAATGAAAGGCTTATGATCTAAGAGGTTTGTCAAGTACAGTGCTAATAGATTACTCCGGCGTAGGGGTGTTCAATGATTAATTGAAGTGAATGTAAGGACAAAATACATTCAGATCAAAGTCCTTTGATGCTGATATAGCGCAGGGAAGGGCTTTGATACGATTGGGGTAGGTGGGAGAGATATGGTACAGGCTACATTTTCTATCCTGAGATAAACATCAGCTAAATAGAAGAACACGAGAATTTCGAATTGTTTAACAGTCAATAAAAGATTTGAAACTCTAATTTTATATTGGAAATAGTTTAGCTACATAAAAAGAACTGTGATCGTGTCGAGTTTTGTAATTATACATTTAAATTAGTAATATTTTTTTTGAAACTGCTAATAAAAATATAAATTCGAAACTGCTAAATAAAATATAAATTGAACTTTGTTAAAATAAATATGAAACATTTAAACTTTGTAAATATACAACTTAACTTTTATCTTAAAAAAATGCTTTTGAAAGTTTGAAACTAATACACATCCTTATGAGTAGAACAAACAAAAAATAAGAAGTTTCTAGACAGAGATTGCGCTGCTGTATATTTAGTTATACATGTATTAAAACTGTACATGTAGTTTACATGCAATTATACCAAAATGCTGCCTGTAATGATAAGCCAACAAGTTGTTCATCATTACAGTTATAAATCTGCTTCTGGTTGTGTATGTAATTATTGAATAAATGTATGATTAGTTTTATTTTCAAGAGGCAACTGTGGTTTTACAAATCTTTTTTTTTTGCCAAGTTTTATTTCAACTATGGGACGACGTTTAGCCCATCAAGTCCGTCGAGTAAAAAAGGGGGTGTGGTTTAACAAATCAAGTGTGTCAAGTAAAAAAGGGGGTGTGGTTTAACAAATCAAGTGTGTCAAGTAAACAAGGGGGTGTGGTTTAAACCATCAAGTAAAAAAGGGGGTGTGGTTCAACCCATCTAGTGTGTCAAGTAAACAAGGGGGTGTGGTTTAACCCAGGAAGTGTGTCAAGTAAACAAGGGGGTGTGGTCTAACAAATCAAGTGTCAAATAGGTGTGTCAAGTTAGCAGAGTGTGGCCACAGATTATGAATGGGTGTGTCGAGTTAGCGATTGGGAGGGGTTTAACCCCTCAAGTGTGTCAAGTTATCAAGGTAGTGTGGTTTAACCCGTTAAATAACGAATGGGTGTGTCAGGTTGATTAATCTGTTAGCCAAATCATCTGTCGTTATGTGTGTTTCATATGTGTGTGCAAATTATGATTGCATTTTACAGTTTTATTTTTCATCCTCGTGTTTCATAAAGAAAATTAGTTTAGAATTTTACCAGATGTATGTTACAGTAATTGAGGTTTGCTGTTCATTTGACATATATGTGTGGGCTTATTCTTAAAATCACTTAACTTAAATATACTAATTATCTTTTTTTTTATTGTACATGGTATACTAGAACATGTTAATTTTTATACTCTACAAAGTTCTGTAAACTATTTTTACCTTGAGGCTCACACCAGTAAATCCTGTGTTGATTTCATGAACTCAACAATTACATTTTGTATGAACTCCCTGAATCTTCACACGTATATCCGTGAGTCAGTGTAGTCAATGTGCTACAGTCGAACACAGCAAATCCAACCCAGCAATCCAACACAGCAATCCAACACAAAAATCCAACACAGCAATCCAACACAACAATCCAACACAGCAATCCAACAGCAACAATCCAACACACCAATCCACGAATGTAATATCCAACAGTCGAGTCCAGGTATATCCGGCAGTCCACAGATAGTGAAAGCAGCCCTAACCCACTCTAAACTTCCGCTCACGTCCTAGCAACCGGCTTTCCTTAGTCGAGTCTACTTTCTGTGTACTACCCGGAACATATTTACATTCTAGAGTTTCACCGCCCCTTAGACCACAGCCCAAACCTATCAGGTCGATATTCGGGGGCCCGATATTGATTTTACCGGCTGGATATGAAAAGAGGGGGTAGAATAAATGACAAGAGCTGTTTGTCGTGTTAACGTCATCGGCTCAAAGGAACCAGCGGTCTGACAAATGGGCCGCACGTCTTGAGTGATCTTTCTTGCTGCGGCTCTTACCTGGAGAGTTGTCGAACCTGTTGTACAGAATACACAAGTGCTGCGATAGATCTCCACCTCGCTCTACCACATACTTACACAGTACAACAACACTTTACGCTAATACAGTGCGTATGATATAAATTATATATATATATATATATATATATATATATATATATATATATATATATATATATATATATATATATATATATATATATATATATCGCCTACACACATTTTAATCATACTGAAAGTTTAACAGTAAACATTCATACATAATTATACGAATGCACTTAATTTTGGCATGTAGTCAAACAGTTTTAAAGTACTTTTTTTTTAAAAATAAATTAGCACGGGAGCTAAGCTTTAAACTTTGGTAATGATTTACTGACAAAAAGGAAATATATTTTAAAATTTAATTTTTTTATAATATCCAATACCCATGATGCCCATCGTCTACCTGATATAAAATATATAATCTCAAGCTTATTGTTCCAAATTTCGCATATAAAAATATTTTCAGAAGTTGATAGGTTCTGACGTTTTAGCTAAATAGTGTGGTCGGGTCGGTAAAGGTCATGGTTGCTAAACCGAAAAGTCTCGAGTTCGAACCCTCGGGCCCATGTGGCTGGGATAGCAACCCATCTAGGATAGACAACTCCAAAATCTAACAACTGCTGCCTTGTAGTTTGTTCTTGGTCGGACAATGCTATAGAAGCAAATCCGAAAAGAAAGCAGGCTGAAATCAGGGCCAATATGGCGCATAACAAGTTGACACGCAATACTTAATTGTGTTGGAGGCAATCCCTTCCAACATTTGAAATAAGTACGAAGAAGAAAAAGAAGCTAAATTGTTGTGCAGTTAATACCACTGGAACAAACGCAGTTTGTGATTTCAATTTTTTTTAATTTCATTTTAATTCAGAAAACAAAATTATCTACAGTCAATGACAACAATAAATGTTTTTCCATTGTTTAGCTACAAAGTCCTCTAGGCACAATTTACAATCTGCTAAAATGCTTATGCTTTCTGATCGGAAGCAAGTTTGTTTACACTATCGAGAGCTACAATATGCTACAGTGTAATGCTATCTGAAGCAAGTTTGTTTAGACTAGCGAGAGCTACATATGCTACAATGTAATGCTATCTGAAGCAAGTTTGTTTAGACTAGCGAGGGCTACATCTGCTAGCTGATCTGAAGCAAGTTTGTTTAGACTAGCGAGGGCTATATATGCTACAGTGTAATGCTATCTGATCTGAAGCAAGTTTGTTTAGACTAGCGAGGGCTACATATGCTACAGTGTAATGCTATCTGAAGCAAGTTTGTTTAGACTAGCGAGGGCTACATATGCTACAGTGTAATGCTATCTGAAGCAAGTTTGTTTAGACTAGCGAGGGCTACATATGCTACAGTGTAATTCTATCTGATCTGAAGCAAGTTTGTTTAGACTAGCGAGGGCTACATATGCTACAGTGTAATGCTATCTGAAGCAAGTTTGTTTAGACTAGCGAGGGCTACATATGCTACAGTGTAATTCTATCTGATCTGAAGCAAGTTTGTTTAGACTAGCGAGGGCTACATATGCTACAGTGTAATGCTATCTGAAGCAAGTTTGTTTAGACTAGCGAGGGCTACATCTGCTAGCTGATCTGAAGCAAGTTTGTTTAGACTAGCGAGGGCTACATATGCTACAGTGTAATGCTATCTGATCTGAAGCAAGTTTGTTTAGACTAGCGAGGGCTACATATGCTACAGTGTAATGCTATCTGAAGCAAGTTTGTTTAGACTAGCGAGTGCTACATATGCTACAGTGTAATGCTATCTGAAGCAAGTTTGTTTAGACTAGCGAGAGCTACATATGCTACAGTGTAATGCTATCTGAAGCAAGTTTGTTTAGACTAGCGAGGGCTACATATGCTACAGTGTAATGCTATCTGAAGCAAGTTTGTTTAGACTAGCGAGGGCTACATATGCTACAGTTTAATGCTATCTGAAGCAAGTTTGTTTAGACTAGCGAGGGCTACATATGCTACAGTGTAATGCTATCTGAAGCAAGTTTGTTTAGACTAGCGAGTGCTACATATGCTACAGTGTAATGCTATCTGAAGCAAGTTTGTTTAGACTAGCGAGGGCTACATATGCTACAGTGTAATGCTATCTGATCTGAAGCAAGTTTGTTTAGACTAGCGAGTGCTACATATGCTACAGTGTAATGCTACCTGAAGCAAGTTTGTTTAGACTAGCGAGAGCTACATATGCTACAGTGTAATGCTATCTGAAGCGAGTTTGTTTAGACTAGCGAGGGCTACATATGCTACAGTGTAATGCTATCTGAAGCAAGTTTGTTTAGATTAGCGAGGGCTACATATGCTACAGTGTAATGCTATCTGAAGCAAGTTTGTTTAGACTAGCGAGGGCTACATATGCTATCTGATCTGAAGCAAGTTTGTTTAGACTAGCGAGGGCTACATATGCTACAGTGTAATGCTATCTGATCTGAAGCAAGTTTGTTTAGACTAGCGAGGGCTACATATGCTACAGTGTAATGCTATCTGAAGCAAGTTTGTTTAGACAAGCGAGGGCTACATATGCTATGGTGTAATACTATCTGAAGCAAGTTTGTTTAGACTAGCGAGGGCTACATATGCTACAGTGTAATGCTATCTGATCTGAAGCAAGTTTGTTTAGACTAGCGAGGGCTACATATGCTACAGTGTAATTCTATCTGATCTGAAGCAAGTTTGTTTAGACTAGCGAGTGCTACATATGCTACAGTGTAATGCTATCTGAAGCAAGTTTGTTTAGACTAGCGAGGGCTACATATGCTACAGTGTAATGCTATCTGATCTGAAGCAAGTTTGTTTAGACTAGCGAGGGCTACATATGCTACAGTGTAATGCTATCTGATCTGAAGCAAGTTTGTTTAGACTAGCGAGTGCTACATATGCTACAGTGTAATGCTATCTGAAGCAAGTTTGTTTAGACTAGCGAGGGCTACATATGCTACAGTGTAATGCTATCTGAAGCAAGTTTGTTTAGACTAGCGAGAGCTACATATGCTACAGTGTAATGCTATCTGAAGCGAGTTTGTTTAGACTAGCGAGGGCTACATATGCTACAGTGTAATGCTACCTGATCTGAAGCAAGTTTGTTTAGCGAGGGCTACATCTGCTACAATGTAATGCTATCTTAACTGAAGCAAGACAAATTTAGCTGCTATGTAATTAAAAACCCCGAACTGCAAAACTTTTTATTACAATCTTCTTAGTACCAAGCGAGTTTTTCTTGACATTGAAGGGAAAAAAATCCTTTAAATGTTTGATCAATGGAGCGGGCGGGGGGAGGGGGAGCGGTGATAGAAATACGATATCTGCTGTATTGTGACGTGGTATGATATTCCACACACCATGGAAAGTACTTGTGACAGACAAGTGTTCATAAATCACAGGCCAAGGATTTACCTGCAGAAATCAATATCTGTGACGTAGATTTTTGTGCTGCCATATGACAGACCTGGAACTTTAGAAGTGACACGTTGACTCAGATAAATATCTGCCCAGAAGGCAACTATCTGGCAAGTGTTGTGTCAACTTTCTAACAGATAGTTCAACTATCTTTACGACAGTAGATAACATTCAACGAAAAACTGAGCAAACGAATGGGACATTTGTCTACACCACTCTAAAGTCAAAATACACAAAATAAAATAAAAACATTGAATTATTGAGTGTTTATACAAAGGACGTCACACCGTATTTTATGCAGCCGACAGTCGATAACATCAAACAAACAAAAAATGAATAATACAATGGAGTATGTCTGTACACTTCCTATCGTCACAATACACACAAAATGTAAATAAATTTCAAACTAATATTAATTTATAAAATGTAAATATTCCACTTAATTGGTCCATGCTAACTCATCAAAATTAAATTGTTTTCAGTTTTATTTTTCAGTATCAATTATTTTATAACCTGTTCCATTCCGACGCTGAAGCAGTCAATTTGTGCTTGCCGTGAGTAACTGGGAAAGTTCCATCACCGATGTTAAAACTGCTCTTCTGACGTCGAATCTTCCACACTTAGAAAATCTGAGCAGTCCTGTTGAGTGGTGTCACTTGTGTCAGATGATGGCTCCGACAAGGAGAGTGGACTAGTGGGAGACTGAAGATCTCTGCTTAGTACAGGGTCGAGATCCCTGCCCGTGTCAGCTGTTGGACTAGTCGGAGACTGAAGCTCTCCGCCTAGTACAGGGTCGAGATCCCTGCCCGTGTCAGCTGTTGGACTGGCTGGTGAGTGGCTGCGGGTAGGTGATGCAACTTCAAGCGTAAGAGGGTTAAGGTCGTGTTCTCTGTCACATTCAGGCACGGGCTGGTCATCTTCAGACACTGTGTGATCACAAACAGACATAGTGTGCTCACTTTCAGACACATGTTGGTCAATCTTAGGTTCTGGGTGGTCACCTTCTGAGAGCAGGTGGTCACCTTCAGTCCCTTTGAGGTCACCTTCAGTCCCGGTGTGGTCACCTTCAGTCCCTTTGATGTCACCTTCAGTCCCTTTGATGTCACCTTCACCTTCAGTCCCTTTGTGGTCACCTTCAGTCCCTGTGCGGTCACCTTCAGTCCCTGTGCGGTCACCTTCAGTCCCTGTCTGTTCACCACTGTCTATTTGTTGATCCAGTAAATCATTCCCTGAAGTTTTACAATCAGAAATCCTCTGCAACATACAAGGCAATATTTGTTTTTAAATAGGCCTTTTCACATATGTAGAAACAACCAAATGACAATCATCCAGTCAGCATGTTAAGCTACACACTACACATCACAGCTAAGCTACACACTACACACATAACAAAGACAATTACAGTTGTGGGTAAACAGTCCGCATCAGCTGAGCTGTCTTCACCAGACATGTCTCTGGTCTCCATTGTAGTGTCTTGTGTGCTGTCTTGTTGGCTTTCTTGTGGGCTGTCTTGTGGGCTGTCTTCATGTCGTGCCTGAAGACAAAACATCAGGTACTAAAACGGAAGAAACCAGCGAAGATGAACTACGTGACTACCTAACTAACAGATGAAAAGACATACTGCATGTACGTATCCTGAGACATCACATGTCACATCGTCGGGTTCTTTTATCAGGTGCTTGTTCCAATAACCTGATCAAAAATATTTTTTACAAATAAGACTACTCATGAATATTACAACAAAATACTAGTAATACACAAGTGAAGGCAGTTATTGGTCTAAAGATATTTCACCAAAAGATTTTCTTTATTTAGACTAGATATGTCTATGTGAATTGTTTAATTAAGTCGTTGAGGGTTCGCGTGGAATATATCTTAGAAAATCTCCACGTTCAAATACAACTCGCTGGTAGAATCAGGCAGTAGCGTAGCGAGGTCGGGGTGTCACCCAGTGCGGCACTTAATGGTGTCACCCCCCAGAGGTTAAGCGACCCTTCCCGGGGTCAAACTTTCAATTTTCGATTTGCACCCCCCCCCCCTCAAACTTTTGATTTGCCCCCCCCCCCCACCCACCTCAAATTTTTCTCTATATATTTTGCTATTTTTTGCCTTGATGTCACCCCCCTAAATGGTGTCACCCGGTGCGATCCGCACCCCCTGCCTCCCCCCCTCGCCACGCCTCTGGAATCAGGCTAGGTTGAGAGTAGCATCTAGCATGGGTGTCTTCTTCCCTATGTACCCTCAACACAACTTTCTACAATATATTTGTTCAATTGACACCACTCTACGTCCGCCTAGCTGTGATGTGTACATCAGTCAAGTGCAGGCCACATGTTGAACGTGGGAAACTAGAAGATTAGACTTGTATGAACCCCACAACGGTGCTAATGTCAAGTCGGCATATGCCATCTTTTTTAAAAGGATGCGTGGAACTTAAAATTAAGCAGTTAAATTCCCGTCAGTTACTTCCCCACCCCCCCCCCCCCCACCTCACGATGAGCTCCTCCAACCCACAATTCTAACTGGGGTCACCGTAAAGCTGACAATACCGTGCTAACACTAGGGTCACCATAAAGCTGACAATACCGCGCTAACATTTAAACCAAAGCTTAAATTAGCAGTTCAAGATCATCGATCATGGGTCATTGATTTTCAGTGAAGAAACTCCCGGTTACGTAATGCAACCAAGATGCAGGTTATCCATCAAGCTGAAAACGCTTTAGAAATTTTAACTTCATATCGTCGCAGTTTTGCGTGCACGATGTGGGTTGTTTTTTTAAAGAAAACCAGCGACGTACAAAATGGTTATACAACATGATTCTTTGCACAGCTTCATGTTTCAGATACCAAGTCTGTACGTGTGTGTTGGGTGTTGGGGTGGAATAACTTTTTTTTTTAACCAGTATCAAAAGGCTTTCGAATGAGCATCCAATACATTATAAACTTTCATCTTTAGATTTAATTGAAACAAAGAGTTAAAAAGGTTCTTATTTTTTACTATAAAAAATTTACCTAAAAATAAATGTTTGTTTTAGTTTCACGCTTTAAAAAACTTATAATAAACCGTGTTTCTTCCAGACTTTTCCCCAACCCACAACAAGCAAGCAGACAGATTGATACTGTCACCTAAGAACACCTTACAGAAATGGATCCCGGATTTAAACTTACGAGCAGTTATCTCCCTTGCCAAGTTCATCCCTTCTCTGACTCCCAACACTTGAAAGACGAGTTTCATTGGTGGACACGTGACTCCCGCCCTAATGGCGCCGTCTATAGCGTGGTCAACAAGCCACTCTTTCTTCTGCTGAGGGGAGGGGGGGTACAAGTTACAGGGTCAGGCATGAAATTTTTAGACGCTCTAGATCTAAGTCTCAGAGTTAACAGTTGTGTAATGAGACAACCTTCACCTTGATATCTTCCTTCCCGTCAGCCCCTCCATCGCCGTCACACGTGACCTTCCCCAGCAGACGTCGGTAGAGAAGTATCTTCTGCTGCTTGTGTGACGGGTCAGTGAACATGTCCACCCCCGCCAGCTGATGGGAGGTGTGGCACAGTCGGAGCAGTACAAGTGCCTGGGGTTGTAAACATTGAGTTTATATGTGGCTATCATACGGCCTTTAGGTGGTTATAGGACAGAATTCAGATGGTTATAGGACAGAATTCAGATGGTTATAGGACAGAATTCAGATGGTTATAGGACAGAATTCAGATGGTTATAGGACAGAATTCAGATGGTTATAGGACAGAATTCAGATGGTTATAGGACAGAATTCAGATGGTTATAGGACAGAATTCAGATGGTTATAGGACAGAATTCAGGTGGTTATAGGACAGAATTCAGGTGGTTATAGGACAGAATTCAGGTGGTTATAGGACAGAATTCAGATGGTTATAGGACAGAATTCAGATGGTTATAGGACAGAATTCAGATGGTTATAGGACAGAATTCAGATGGTTATAGGACAGAATTCAGATGGTTATAGGACAGAATTCAGATGGTTATAGGACAGAATTCAGATGGTTATAGGACAGAATTCAGGTGGTTATAGGACAGAATTCAGGTGGTTATAGGACAGAATTCAGGTGGTTATAGGACAGAATTCAGGTGGTTATAGGACAGAATTCAGATGGTTATAGGACAGAATTCAGGTGGTTATAGGACAGAATTCAGATGGTTATAGGACAGAATTCAGATGGTTATAGGACAGAATTCAGATGGTTATAGGACAGAATTCAGGTGGTTATAGGACAGAATTTAGATGGTTATAGGAAGGAATTCAGATGGTTATAAATCAATAATAAAGTGAAGGTTCATTTGAATTATTCATGAAGTGAGTTAAGCTACAAAAGTAATAAAGTAATGATGGAAACTTCTAGAAAAACAAAGCCTTCACAACAAAGTGACTTAACCACTACACCACTATTTGACTTACCACAAGATGGCTACATGGAATGGCCCGCTACACCACTATTTGACTTACCGCTAGTTGGCCACATGTGATGGCCCACTACACCACTATTTGACTTACCACAAGTTGGCCACATTGGATGGCTTACTACACTGGTATTTGACTCACCGCTAGTTGGCCACATTGGATGGCCCACTACACTGGTATTTGACTCACCGCTAGTTGGCCCAATGGGATGGCCCATTGAGCGAGTACTTGAATAAGAATCAGACTAATCAGTCTGGTGAGACTCTAAAATCAATTTGAAACAAGACGAGTTAGATCAATCACTGATTAAATTATTGTTGCAGTTAACGTTTAATGAAAATATGCACATGTCTCTGTAATTTCATTTCATTGTTAATACAGACAGTGTTTCTTCCAGACTTTTTTTCTCCGGGGGGGTGGGCACTTGAAATTTTCGGGGGGGGGGGGTAGACTTTCTTCGGGGGGGGGGGGGGGGCGGACACTGTTAAAAGTATATATTTTCTATATAAAGTATATACATTTCCTTTCGTTCGGGGGGGCGGTAAAAAATTTTCGGAGGGGCTTCGCCCCCCCCCCCCCCCCCCCCCCCCGAAGAGATGCCTGGAAGAAACTCTGAATACAGACTCTTAGTTAAAAAATTATAAATCTCCAAAACTTCACACAAAATATTTAAACCGAAGCTTTAGACCCCTATATATTTTCGTCTAATCTAATCAAGTAGCTCCAATACAAATACTTCGTGTAATTTAAAATTTCAAGTATTGATTATCTAATGAACAGTTACGAGACAACATTTGGTGGTAATTCTATTCGTACATACCCCATGATGATCCGCCATCTTGTGAGTACCACTTGCATTGGGTGACTTGCTCTTCGGTTTCTTCAAAGGGGAGTTAACAAATAATTACTCAATTTCAAAAACATTGTTTTGGTTATTTCCCTTTGATTATTTTTAATATAAACTATCACTCCTGAAAGAAAATGTTAGATTATCTACCTTCAGGTTCGTTCGACAAATGCTGGTAACATCTATCAATGCCGCCAGTGTTATTTCAGAAGCCAGTAGTGCGCATGTCACAAACCACCGGAAGAAGAATAATGGCGGGAAAAACCTCAGGAAAATGTGCACGGCACTTGTGGCCAGAATTTTGGCACGCTGTATCTGTTAGCGGTAGGGGTGCAATGGTGGGGAATTATTACAATGGGAAATAGGAATGTGTAGAGAAAACAAAAGATTGCGAGATAGGAATAAATGAAACATGAAACTTAACTAAGCTAGCCAGAACCCTAATTCTTGGAAATGCGAGAAAAACTTAGAGTAACGAAAAATAATTGGAAACTGGGAAGCATTGGACATGCGGAAATACAAAACAGAACATCATACGAGTCACTCTCGACATGCGGAAATGGATGACAAAGAACTATACCAAATCAGTGTGACATGCGAAAATATGACAAAACATCGCACCGGGTCTATTGGGACATGCGGAAATAAATCACAGAATGGCGTACAGGTCATTGTGACGTGCGGAAATAGATTACAAAACACCGTGCTAGGTCACATGGAGCATGCGGAAATAGATTACAAAACACTGTACTAGGTCACATTGAGCATGCGGAAATAGATGAGAAAAGTACTATACCAGGTCAATATGACATGTACACAAGTATCTGTGAATGATCTGATTCAGATAAACGCTATCATCCTTCATTAGGCAGCCTGCGAACCAAAAGAAAAGAACATTCTAGAAATATCTACGTCTGAATAAATCATCACCTGGGCTTTGAAAATCCTTGTAATCAAATGTCTATTGATTGATGCTCTGATAAAAGGACGTGGCGGATTGATTAAACTCAGCGTCTATTGAGCATTCAGGGAAGATTTTTAAAAACCGTTTAATTACTTTGTCATTTCGTTATTTTATGGCTTTCATTGATTAATTTCCTGTAAGCAAAAACAAATTACATCTTACCTAATGGAGAGGGGTTAATTAAAAATGTGGTCTGGAATAAGCTTTTCTGATGGGGTAATTATGTGAGCAGTGGCTAGATTAGCTAGCGTGGGTGTGGGGGGGGTGGTCGAAATGTGATTTTTATCTTGACGGTGTCATTAAAACAAAACCATACTAAATGTGACAGTCTTAACATTAAATGTTTACATAGATCTCACAGGTTGTGAGACATTACAGTAGGTGATTCCTCCTCCTGCCATTGTCCCCCACATCAATTAACACCAATTAATCTCCCTCCCCCGTCAATGCGCTACATGGTAATTATCCCCTCCTTGAATAACCAATATACTTGTTACCGGTAAAGTGCGAAACAGCATGCTATATAAAGCACAACATAGGTCGAGTATGTTATAAATAGCATGTGTTACACTACCGGGCTATAGACTGTCTTGTGGGATCACAGGTAAACCATATTTGTTGTCGATATGTGGGGGGGGGGGGGGGGGGTTGTTGGTGTGTAATTGACAGGGGGTGATATCCTGATAATTATTCTCACGTGAATGTCTGGAACTAATTATTGTACTCAGGTAACAAACAGTTCTCACCTGGATGTCTAGAATTAATTATTGTACTCAGGTAACAAACAGTTCTCACCTGGATGTCTAGAACTAATTATTGTACTCAGGTAACAAACAGTTCTCACATTAATGTCTAGAACTAATTATTGTACTCAGGTAACAAACAGTTCTCACATTAATGTCTAGAACTAATTATTGTACTCAGGTAACAAACAGTTCTCACCTGGATGTCTAGAACTAATTATTGTACTCAGGTAACAAAAGGTTCTCACCTGGATGTCTAGAACTAATTATTGTACTCAGGTAACAAAAGGTTCTCACCTGGAAGTTCTGCCATGTGTATCAGACAAAAATTTTCTGGCATCTCTGAACGTGTCTACCTGCAGAAACAAAAACTCTAGAAACAGGTGATGGTGACACCTATGTGTCGTGACACCCTGATGTCACCTGTTCCAGTCACCACTACAAACAAAATTTTAGCAAAAACTATTATTTTACAAATCAGAAAGCTTATATAAACAATCAAACTCAATTCTCTTTTATAAGGGGTTTAAATCATTCAATTCAGTTAATTGCGGATGATTACTGATTAATTAGCAGGTGTGTTCAAAACGTTAATGGCATTTGTTTTCATACATTAGGACAACAGAGAGATTACATCAGGACAACAGAGAGATTACATCAGGACAACAGAGAGATTACATCAGGACAACAGAGAGATTACATCAGGACAACAGAGAGATTACATTAGGACGTGAAACAAAGTAAAGGGTTTATAAATATTTCAAAACAAGCTTAGATTTGACATCTACAAACTTGAATTAATCTAGAGAACTTTTAACTTAGATCGAATCTAGAGAACTTTTAACCTAGATCAAATCTAGAGAACTTTTAACTTGGATCGAATCTAGAGAACTTTTAACCTAGATCAAATCTAGAGAACTTTTAACCTAGATCAAATCTAGAGAACTTTTAACCTAGATCAAATCTAGAGAACTTTTAACCTTGGGGGTCGTCCATAAATGACGTCACACTCGTAGGGGGAGGGGGGTCCGTAATTTTGTGACGGTGTGATGAGGGGAGGGGGGGGGGGGGTTCAGATGGTGCGACGTCACACTTTTGCATTATAAGAAAGCAATGTTAGAAAACGAATTTTAGACGTTATTTTGCGTTTTAGAAAACTGTTTTAATAAATTGTAATAACAATTGATAAAAATACTCTATTTTGACAGAGTTCAGACAAGATTTTGGAAAAATATCGATGTTTAAAAAAATTCAACTGCAATTTTGAGGGTGAAGTAGGCTGAGGTGTGACGTCATTTTAGGGGGGGTCTGGCTTTTTGTGACGACGTGTGATGGAGGGGAGGGGGAGAGGTAAAAATCGTCAAAAAAGCGTGACGTCCTTTATGGATGACCCCTTGATCAAATCTAGAGAACTTTTAACTTAGATGAAATCTAGAGAACTTTTAACCTAGATCAAATCTAGAGAACTTTTAACCTAGATCAAATCTAGAGAACTTTTAACCTAGATCAAACCTAGAAAATAGTTAATCTAGATCAAATCGGTAGAATATTATGTAACCTAGATAAAATCGAGATAATATTTAACACACTGCCAAATATAGAAAATATTTAATCTAAATAAAAAAATCTAGAGAATATTTAAAACCTAGATCAAATCTACAAAATGTTTGCAGCTGTTAAAATTATAGATACATTAACTTGCATGAATCAACTAGTACTTGAATCTAGGTAGATTCCTATGTGCTTATCTTTGTATGTGAATCAAGCCAAAAAGTCCACACAACACAGCTTGTTTTAGAGCTTAGTTTTGTGTGCTGATACACAGCTTGTAAACATCTGTGAGCTGTGTACCGTTACACAGCGTGTAAATAACCTTGAGCTGTGTGCTGATACACAGCGTGTAAACATCTGTGAGCTGTGTGCTGATACACAGCGTGTAAACATCTGTGAGCTGTGTGCTGATACACAGCGAGTAAACAACCTTGAGCTGTGTACCGTTACACAGCGTGTAAACATCTGTGAGCTGTGTGTTGATACACAGCTTGTAAACATCTGTGAGCTGTGTGCTGATACACAGCGTGTAAACAACCTTGAGCTGTGTGCTGCTGATGTTTGGTCACGTGTTGTCAACATGTGTTATCCGGTGTGTCAAGGTGATAAATGGACTAGACTAGATCACGCTTCAGTGGACACTTTCAGGATAGGGTGACATCGTTTGGGGAGGTAAACATCATCACTGGTGGGAAGGTGACACCATCACTAGTGGGATGTGATACCATCACTAGTGGGATGTGATACCATCACTAGTGGGATGTGATACCATCACTAGTGGGATGTGATACCATCACTAGTGGGATGTGATACCATCACTAGTGGGATGTGATACCATCACTAGTGGGATGTGATACCATCACTAGTGGGATGTGATACAATTACCTATGGGAAGGTGATACCATCACTAGTGGGGATGTGATAGATGTGATACCATCATTAGTGGGATGGGATACCATCACTAGTGAGATGTGATATCATCACTAGTGGGGATGTGATACCATCACTCGTAGGAAGGTGAAACCATCACTAGTGTTAAGATGGGCATGACGGGGGTGACACCGAAGTGTTGTTTTGTTAGTAAGATGTTTAACTGCTCCTTGTTTTTATTTGTTGGGCGACACAACGGTACATTATCCCACAACCATTAGTGGCGCCACTGGAGGGGGGGGGGGGCAGTAGCGTGTGACGCCATTAGGCGAGGTGGAGGGGGGGATTGAAACCACCTTATTTTTCTTAATCCTCGGTGTGTTGCCCTTAATGACGTCACTAGCCACACCTGCTTAGTTTTTATTTTAATAAAGTGTTCAAACTTCTCCCATTGGTTGAATGTTTTTTTTTTTGTTCTGTTCAGGACTAAGTACTCTATTTCCGACTCCCATTTTTAAAAACTATAAACACTCTCCACTTCCGCTATTCAAATACCACATTTCTCCTCTTATCGTAGTCAAACTTGCTCAGGAAATAAACGGTCGCTATTTTTAATTGCAAACAACCCTAATTAGACGCTGGAGCGTGCAGGGGCGGGTGCGCAGGGTGGGGGGGGGGGGGGGTAATCGTAGCTAGCACCGATTGATCTGCTGATTCACAGAACGCAGGTACTGTCCCATCTATTTTGGTCCATGTTTTTTTCTTACAGTAGAAGCAGACGACAATTAGGAATTGACACGTGGTGTTTAGACGTCTGTCGTGACCGTCCGGAGATCTGGAGAATGTTTGCACGTGACGCGGCATGTTGGGTGATTATCTTTGACCACGTGATGTGTGTGTGTGAAGGGGGGGAGGGGCAGGGTGTTGGGCTGGGGATGAGGCAGGGTGTGAATAGTCCAGGGTTCTGGGTGGGTTATGTCCAGTGTTTACACAGCCGGGTATTTACAGGTTCTTACGTCTGCTGAAAGTGGGTGGCGCTCAGTTTTAGTTCTACTACATCTTTACACAATCTAAATAATCCTACGACATCTTTACACAATCTAAATAATCCTACTACATCTTTACACAATCTAAATAATCCTACGACATCTTTACACAATCTAAATAATCCTACGACATCTTTACACAATCTAAATAATTCTACTACATCTTTACACAATCTAAATAATCCTACTACATCTTTACATAATCTAAATAATCCTACTACATCTATACACAATCTAAATAATGCTACCACATCTTTACACAATCTAAATAATCATAATACATCTTTACACAATCTAAATAATCCTACTACATCTATACACAATCTAAATAATCATACTACACCTTTAATCTAAATAATCCTACTACATCTTTACATAATCTAAATAATCCTACTGAAAGCAGTATGTGCACGATCTAATTCCACTCGATATTTATAGCACAGTACCGTTTACACAATCTAAGTTCTATAATATATTTATGGCACAATACTGTTAACACTAACTATTAACTAGATATTTAAAGTACTGTACTGTTTACAATATCTAAATTGTACAAGATATTTATAGCATTGTACTTTTCCCACAATGTAAATTTTACAAGATTTACACCATAACACTGAACATATCTAAATTCTAACCCTTCATAGTACTGTGTATATATTTTGTTTGCTTTTTTAACATTAAAAAAGTATGTTGTAGTTTTATACAGTTTCAAAAATACAATATTGTAGTATAAATTCAATGAAGGAAGCGAAATGGTATTAGATTTACAACTAATTTACTCAATATTAGCGGATGCAATGCGTGTTTGTTTTGAAGACTTATTTTGCTGTTCTCCTTTCTAGAGTATGAAATCAAAAACTTACAGTACAGTCGTCACAAATGACCTATTAACCTGTCTATCCCAGGGGTCGGCAACCTGCGGCCCGCGAGCCGCATGCGGCTCTTTTGATGTCAAAATGCGGCTCTCCAGCTCCTTGCAGAAATATTAATAGTTTTTAACACGTTTTTAACGCGTTTTTCTTAACTCAGCTTCGCGTTTGTGGATGTGTGGATTTGTTTGTTGTTAAAATTGACATCGAAAATTAGCCCACTTCTGATTGCTCTAGAGACCTGAAATTTGGCATGCATGCTACTTTCGCCTAACAATTTCAGATGCAATCATAAAAACTAGCAATTAGTGACCGTAATTAGCTTAATTTAATTACGCCCCAAGGACCATAAAATCGAGGACATGATTTCTAAACATACCGACAAGACTTGAGGCCTATTGACACAGTTACTTCGGCCCCAATCGATGTGAGCGCGCTGGCCGTGATCGTATAGTGGTTAGTACCTCGCGTTGTGGCCGCGACAACCCAGGTTCGAATCCTGGTCGCTCAAGATTTTTTTAGTCCGTGTATTTATAAACACTTTTTTAAAAACCACGTTTTTCATGTGTAGCAACGGACTAAAAAGGAGAAAATAAAATACTTAAAAAAAACTTTTTAAAAAACCACGTTTTTTATGTGTAGCAACGGACTAAAAAGGAGAACGGACACGGTAACACATTGTTAACGGTGACACGGTTGGTACGCTGGGCATGCTAAAATACACATAAACACGTTTTTCCTTAACTCAGCTTCGCGTTTATTTGTTTGTTTATGGGAGATTTGATCACGTGATTCGTGAGTAGATCTCCACGCCAGCAACGTAAATTACACCCTTTCTCTGTTTAAAGCGTATCGGTCGCTCAAGATTTTTTTAGTCCGTGTATTTAAAAACACTTAGTCAAGTCATACTTAATCAAGTGATTAGATAAAGTAGAAAATAAACTATATAAAAAACTTTTTAAAAACCACGTTTTTCATGTGTAGCAACGGACTAAAAAGGAGAAAATAAAATACTTAAAAAAAAACTT